TGTTATTTTACAAATATGCTTCACCAAATGAAAGTGTATATTATCCAACAACCAGTATACACAACCTTCAGCCTTGTTCTAATATAAAAACAGATTATTATATGTATTATATATATATATATATATTATATATATATATATATATATATATATATATATATATATATATTATATATATATATATATATATTATATATATATATATATATATATATATATATATAATATAATATATATATATTATATATAATATATATATATAATATATATATATATTATATAATACATATAATACATATAATAGTGTGTTCATGAAGAAGTTCTAAACCCATAGGGGTTACAGCACCCAGGAAATGAAAGGTAATCAGGTTTGATTCGAGGAGGAAGGTAAACATTATACTGACTGCATACTCCAGTAATAGAAATGAAGGGTACCAATGTACAAGGTAGCACCGGTTGTTTAACATGTTAAAGTTGGACTACTGTTCTTGGTGGCTGAACAACCAAATATTTTGCCAAATTTTTCTTATATGGAAAAGTCTTGCCCAAGATTATAGTGTTCACTCTATAGTTATCTGATTAAACTGACCAGAATCAAATAAAATGCCACCGTTTCAAATAAGCATCAAAGCTTTTCCTCCTACCACTTGTTTAATTTAGATAGCAGAAATTAATAAGGTGTTATCTTTATACATCTCATTTTTTGTTACCCACTGTTTGTATAGCTCTAAGTTTATCAGAGGTTTCTGATCTTTAACTGTAACCCTGATCTTTAAGCCTTTCTTTACCACAATTAGATTGTGGCAGTTCTCAACCATCTTCGTAGGTTTCCTCAAAAATTATTCACATAATCATGGGTTTCCTCAAAACTGTTTCATCCAGATTGAATGAAACAGTTTCCTTGATCTAAGGAAACTGTTTCATCCAGATTGAATGAAACAGTTTCCTTGATCTAAGGAAACTGTTTCATCCAGACTGAATGAAATGGTTTCCTTGATTTAAGGAAATGAATCTGAATGCCTTCCATTATCCTCCCCAAGTCCTGCATGACCCCTATGGATTGAGAGCCTCTCCTATGAATATGTTCTGATGTGTGATTGTCAGCTTTAACCTACCATCCTTAACAAATAATAGTACTAAACATTTTAATATTTTATAAAAGTCGACAGGTTTATTGCTTTTTGTTAGTATAATAGCTATATCGGTTTATTTTATTAAATACTTTTCACACTCCCCTCAGCCCTTTCTAGTTCAGTCTCTTGCTGCCCTTTACCCTTTCACCATCCACTGCCCCGCTGTTATCCGTAACCTATTACTCATCCATCTCCCTTTTGCCACCTGATGCCCTCGCTTCCTTCCTGCCCTGCAGCGCTGTATAGTCCTTGTGGCTTAGCGCTTCTTTTTGATTATAATAATAATAATAATTTATTAAATACTTATTGAATTCCATCGTGACTCTTCCAAGAGCAGATGTACTCACTACTGTTGCTAAACTTAAGTGCTAAGTTGAATCCAACTATATGTGAATAAGCGAATAATCATGCTTACGTATGAGGTGATGGAACATGTTTGCATTCTTGAAAAACCAAAACACAGTGAAAAGAAGTGGTAAAAAATGCTGACAGGATGGAGAGATGAATGCAATACAGTGCAATCTTTTATTGACAATGTTTGCTCATAAAGTGGGGCTTTTTCAAGTTGCAAATAGATCCTCTTGGAGAGGGAGGTGAAAAATCAGGTTGTTGAAACCATAATCTTCAGTAATTTTAAACTTTGGTTGGACAAATATATGGCTGAAGTGTTGCCTTGATGAGAACCTGCCAAGCATAGGCTAGTAGGCCTACTGTAGTGGCTTTCCATACTTCTTATGAGCTGTTGCTATGTGGGATATGATCTAGAAGTTTTCTGGCAAGAGGCTCAACTATGTTGAAGCCATTATCCTGGTTTAAATTGGTGGAAATGCTGATGGGTGATGCTTTTAATTCTGCATCTCTTGGTGTCTTCTTTCTTGGCAATGATTTGTGTGCCTTTGTAATTAATGTCCAGAAATACATACATGAAGGTCTCTGGATGTTTTGTCCAGGTATATTTATCACAGTTGATGCAAGGGATTGTATGTACCCCTGCAGTGTTTTGAACTTGTGATGTCCTTGATTGTAGTATAGGTAGTGGTGGCTAGGTTGAATTTGGTGTTGGAGAGAATATTGGAGATGTTAGGGAGAATAGGACGTCACTGAAACATGTATAGTCTTACTTAACTCCATTGTCAAGCATATCCTCAGTATTGTCTCTAACATCAAATTCCAACCCAGTGCCACTGCCTCCACACTATGATCAAGCACTTTACCAGCAGGGTAAGCACACAATTCCTTGGAAAGATTGTAACAAATGTATGTAGGCAAAAATCAGAGACCTCTACACATGCATTTCTGAACACCAATACTCCATCAGAATGGACAACTTGAATAATACCTAGTTTGCACTGAAACTCATAGTACCACTTAATTGCCAAGACACCTAGAGATGCATGACCTTAGAATCACCATCAGCATTTCCAACAATTTAAACTAAAACATGGCCTCTACCACATAGTTGAGCCTCTTGCCAGAAAACTTCTAGATTGGTATCTCACACAGTAACAGTCTGTATGTATGAAGGCCCATGGCAGGTGGTCTACTGGTCCATGCTATGCAGGTTCTTCATAGGTCCAACACTTTTCAGTCACATATTTGACCTACCTGAATTTAAAGCTGACCAAGGTTACAGTTTCAACATGCCTGGCCTAACAATCTACTTCACTATGCTTCATATATATGCGTATCCTCCCTCTCCAGGTAGCTATGTTTTTGACTTAAAGCCCACTGTGAGAGCAAAACTTTGTCAATAAAAGATTGCATTATACTGCACTTGTCTTTCTCCCGCTGAATGGACCCACCTTTCATCGACTTTTTGACAACAACTGACTTGCTTCACAAACTCTGATGATACCTTCAGCCCTTTCTACCTCGATCTCTTGCTACCCTCTACCCTGCACTATCCCCTGCCCCGCTGTTTTCTGTAACCTACTGATCGCCCCTCCCCCCTTCTGCCGCCCAATACCCTGCAGCGCTGTATAGGCCTTGTGGCTTAGCGCTTCTTTTTGATTATAATAATAATTGTCTTTCTCCAAACCCAACATTATGGCACCTCAGAAAAATTTCTTTTGGGTTACATCATTCATGCTAGAGGTTCAGTAACAACACTCAAGAATTTTTGAGATTGGAAGTCTGCATATGAGTGACTACTATATTAGAAATATTTCCTATAAAGAGATGCAGTTTATAACCTTCCCCCACCACCTATGGGTTTTCCAGCAATTTGTGTACTATATTGTATTTCCTTGAAATATAAAAGTCCTTATCAATGACATTTGTAGTATAACCTTCAGACTTGTATACTTATATGAAGCCAAGCAATCTATTACCTTTTCTTACGAACACGTGTACCATTTCTTTTGTTTAAAGTTTCTACTAACTAGTCGGTATTCAAGTAGTTTTTTAACATCCAAAATTTCTTGGTCTTATCAGTGAACTTGCATTGCTATTTACAATATTTCCTTATGGGGATCATTTAAATAACTTACAAAGAACCCAGCACTGAGATGTGTGTAATGCCACATTTGATTGATTTGGTCTCCATTTTAAGTTTCTCTCCCCTTAAATGCTGTATAGTCCTTGTGGCTTAGCGCTTCTTTTTGATTATAATAATAATAATAATAATCTCCCCTTAAATCCACTATTACCAATCAGCCATGCCTAGAGCCAGAAGAAAGCTCCATCATTCTACTTTTTTCTGTATTTTTTGTCTTGTGTGGTACAGGATCAAAATCTTTATAATGTTCCCAGCTGCATAATCCTACAGGTTTAGCATTCCCCCTTGATTATAATATAACATTCCCATAACCAGCTTTATACTTTTTGTCCAACTCTCAAATAAATACATGAAAATTCCCAGCAACTTTGTTAAGCAATAACCCCTTATGAATCCCCATATACTGTGGGCATCAAGGTGACATAATACATCTGCTATTAATATTTAGGAATTTGAGTGATAGGGCAGTATTTGAAAGCTCATTACTTCTCTCCACTTTTGTATATAATTATCACATTAGCCATCTACTGTACCTCTGCCACAAAGCTAATGACATTAAAATGTAAGCTAGTGATTTACAAGTACAGTGGACCCCCGCATAATGATCACCTCCGAATGCGACTATTTATGTAAGTGCGTTTGTACGTGTATGTTTGGGGGTCTGAAATGTACTAATCTACTTCACAATATTCCTTATGGGAACAAATTCGGTCAGTACTGGCACCTGAACATACTTCTGGAATGAAAAAATATCGTTAACCGGGGGTCCACTGTAACTTTTCAGTATTTCAACCACATGCAGTTTCCTCAGAGTCTTGCGTGCTACCCTAATTCCTGCCTTATCCAGACAAAGCTTCTGGTATATTATAATGCTTCTTTCTCATTCTGTACCACACTCCAAAGCTGTTGTCCCCATTTTTTCTGATAGATTAATTGGGGTTTAGCATTGTATCAATATAATTAACAAATGAGGTGCATGAAGAAATGTCAAAATTGTGGTCAGGATTTAACATGGACTTTTTTGATATTCTGCCAGTAAATGTGATCAAAACAGCACAAAAGAAAGGTCACTGGTTATCTTCTCAAAGTGGAGGATACAATGTCATCATTATTACAATCAAAACTAAGTGCTAAACCCACAAGGTGTTGGATATGTGTTCTGTGTTAAAGCAGATTTTTTTTATAATGCTGGTAACTTACTATGTTAGATAAAGTCTGTTAATTTGTGGAGACAATTTAGTGTGAAATGTTTGTGTGTAGGATTGACATGAAATTTATTAATATATACTTTATGTGATACATAATATAGTTGCTATATTTCCTTTTATTTGTTTATTTATCCATTTAAAATTGTATATTGAATTACTGAATACAGTGGATACTTTTATTAGAAAAATCTTATGAATATATTTACAAAATGCATTGTACTGAAGAAAAAATTACACATTATTCATGACCTATTTTATACTAACAGCGGCTTAGAACATGACACTTTTGAACTACTACAAACTATCAGCGGTACAGAACTTGTTAAACCTTTGAATTTCCACCTAATTAATCTTTGAGATCCTATCAGTGGTGGTGATGAGCACTTTACATACATACAAGACACATTTGATAAATACTTATTGTCATGATTTACATTCTAAAAAAAAAAAAAAAAAAAAAGAAAGCTACAAGAAATGAAGTTAATTTTGTTAGTGAAACCACTTTGTTTCTGTTTAGCAATTTCTTTCCTCTACCATTGTGATGGTCATATGAAAAAGCACCAGTTTTTAAATGTTATATTCAAAATTGTACTTTATAATATTTACATACTGATAACCACTTCATTAGACCAGCTGACCTTGAATGACCCAGGAGGAACTACTGTAGTGATAGACCCTCTTTCTCAAACTGGTGTTTTTCTTCTTTAGCTACAAACTACAACCAGGTAGTTTCTCCCTCTCTCAACTGATGAAGGATCAAGCTTCTACCAATTTTTGTGCTGTTTAACCCATATGGGTTAAGTGCTTCACAATATTACCCAACATGCACAAGGGCCTAAGTGAATACTGATTTTTTTTCTTGGTACCCTTCTCCCTATTTGTTCTCATCTACCTCCTCACTTGTACATGTTTAATTAAGCAGAATAGCAAATAGTCCTGATTAATGAATTCTTGTTCCTCTTCTATGACACAAGCACTTAATTTGTCAGTATTTTCCTAATACCTCTGCACTCTTACAAAAATACACAATCTTTTGTAGTGTTAACATGCTGTAGAGTCAACTAATATTTCCCATTGGCTGAATTACTCAACTGACATCAAAATTATACTTATAGCTTTAGTTATGCACAAAATTTTGCTATGTTTAATCTTTGCCAGCTTGGTTTACAGATTTGTAAAATGAAGTATTACAAGACAATTAACTTTTTGTAATAAAACAAAATAAAAGTACTTGTGCAAAAAGACACTGTCTGCAACCACTGAAAGCACTCGCACTAGTGCAGCATAAAATGTTTGATAAACATATATGGAATCCAGCCCAAAGTGTTCATAAGTACTGAACTCTGCTATACACAGCATAGGCAATATGAAAAACCTGATGATTTTGAGCATAAAAAAAACTAAACTACAAAAAAGAATTGTGTGAAGCAGTTTCTGCCTTAGAACAATTTTATTTTGAGATTTATAATAGAAAAATAATCACACATCTGATACTAAAAAGACAATGAATATAAAAATATCCAGTTTATAAATAAAAAGAGGTAATAATGACATGCAGTATACAAACTGAGGTACTGTGCATGAGTTTTAAATGAAAGTGCCATAAAAAATTTAAGCTTCTCTTATTTCTCTCATGATTTGCATTATTAATTCTCGACAAATTAATGAATCTGAACTTTTATATATCAAATGCAAAGAAATTATAAAAGGGACTTACTACTTTCATCACATCCATTCAAGTACTGAAATAATGCCTGCTTAATGTTACAGTTGTTATAGTAATAAGTAATACAGATGAAATGACTATGATAATGAAAAGATAAGACATTAAAATGTTTATGTTAAATGCATAAAAATACTGTTAATTCACATTGTTGAGAGTCCTTATATTAATGAATGCTCCAAGCTTTGGCATAAATTAACTAATGGTTCAGATTTTAAGTATGAAACAAAAAATTATCTACAAACAGAAGTTTAAATTTTGCTTGTAATTTTAAAACACAGCAACCAAATAACAAATATTTCTTTGGGTTTCCTTGCAAGTCTTTAAAATTTTACTGGTAACTAAGTCAACCTTTACACTCCTAAAATGGTTCAGCAAACAATTTGACTTGTAATTACAGAAAAATACTAGGCTTTCTTTAAATGATACAGTAGATCAAGAAACTGTAGCCACTACAGTAAATATATTCTAACATACATAGATTTAATGCAAATTCCTGGGTCCAACATGGCTGAAGAGCTTTGGTATAACCCAGGGGATGTGCCACAAGTGTCTCTAGCCACGGCCATTCCAAAGTTCATAGTTTATGAGGATGATTCCTTAAAAGTAAAAATATTTACATTACTTCTGTACATATCACAGACAACGAGGGACCAGTGTCCATTTGACACACTTGAAACAAGCTACAGGTGTTTGATCATGGCAGTAACCAATGTGTTCCCTTGGTTTCACCTGAGCCAATCTTCTCACTAATTCAGATCTCCTTGAGATCATCATCATTATATCACATACAAAGAAGGACTTAAAGTAGTTTGTCTTTTATCAATTGTCTATATTTCTATAAAATTTCTTACCTATACAAATGAAGAAAAACCTGGTAAAGGTGCTCTTGATCCAGCCATATTATTCATGATAATCTGTCCTCCATTTAAACTCATCACTGCACTTCCTTCAGCTTCAGAATCTGTATAACTTGAATAATTGCGAACCGGCTTTTGTCTTCTCCAAGACTGGCGAAGTGTATCATTAACATTAGCATAGTGATTAACAAAAGAGTGTGGTTCCGAATGGTGTGACTCGTTTTCACTCTCAGACTCCTGCTGTAAGACAGATGTAAGAAAACTTTTATGTTCAAAGTTTTGAAAAATACCAACCAAATATCTTCAGTAGAAATGGTATGTAAGAGATATATAGAAAATGTATTATAATTAATTTGAGCTTTTCTTACAAAACAGTTGATACAAAATTATATTACATCAGCAAATGAATACATATTTATACACACAAACTAGTGTAAAACTAACCTCAGAGGCAGTCGAGGATAAGTCTGTTGGTTTTTCAGTTAGTTCACTTGAATCGTCAGGATTTTCATCATATCCTTTTACTGTATCCTCATCTGAGTAAGTGATGGATGCTGGGGCAGGTCGTGGTGGTGATTTTGCATTGACAACAGCAGTGGCACCAACAACGGATCTACGTCCTAAGGTACTCCGTTTGCTTACAGTGCCACGCCTTGATTGTCTCATCTCAAAAGTGGAGAATGCTGTCTCATCAGTGTTTAACGACTCCTCCATTGTCTTGTTAGCTGCTTCTTCTATTATACAAAAAAAAAAATATATTAGATAACCAAATAGACCATCCATATGATGCATTATTATGTATTGCCTCTATTTTATCACAAAATATATAACCTTTCATGAAATATGAAATGTACTTTGCAAAATTTTAACATGTATCAATTGCTCTATTTTTAACTTCCACAACAGTAGCAGTATATTAATTTCTGTAGTTAAAATACAAATTGTAATTTGTTTCAGTTATTTCCATAATAAAAATTTAAACTTTATTCAAATAAAGCAAATGTGAAAGAAGTGACAGACAGCCAAGGCACAGATTAGCAAGCAAAGACTGCAAATGTGAAAAGCCAGGTTCCAAAATAGATTTTTTACATTAGAATTAAAGAGAAAATCTATACAATTATACCCAGTAATAAGATAAATGCAAGAAATGTTGAATGCTGTGTGCCATGTTTAAGTTATGAAATAAAGATAATAAAGAAAAGTCATAGATGCATGAAGAAATGTGCATTTGCACTAATGTGCTACAATCAGTTGCTCATGGATGTGGCTAGCAACAATCATGCAGCATGCATGGCAGTCTGTGCTTTAACATGAAACTGTGGTAGTTAAAAACTTACGTGCTGACAACAATTCCTCTACAATACCTGGGAATGAGACAGTGTGCTTTAATATTCATGCAAAACAAAATATAACATGTGTTAGCCTTAGTTGTTGTAATCAAGTGTATACTTTTTACAAGTATCAGGTGTGAGTTATAAAAATATAAACAAGGCATTTTTGTAGATGTAAAAATAAGAAAATTCATACTCTAAAAATTAACATTGTTATTAAAGTATAAGTGAAGTGTCATATTTTATTATATGCAAGAAAAATATATCTACATACATAAAAATATCATGCAGATTGCAAACAGCAAAAAAGAATCTATAAATGTTGATTGTCTACAAGCAAAACACGAGACTACAAAGCAAAGGAATAAGAGTGCATAGTATTCTAAAAAGGAAGCATACACCCTTAACCATATACAACACATAGCTACACTTACTGTATTTGGAACAATTTTATAGGATTCAGCTAGGATCCCCTCTCAATAAAAAAAAACTAACAACATCAAGTTCCACTATAGTGAGCATCACCAATAAACAAACTTTCCCAGATGGTCAGTATAAAGCTTAGTGGCAGGGCCTTTTATATTATAAAAATAGTGCAGCATTTTCAAGCCAAGATAAAATTCATACCAAGATGTTAAGATACCTGATGATGATCACTATAGAAAGTGTACAAAAACACAAAGCTGTGCAAGTTTTCATAATAAAAAATTCAACTTACGTTTGTATTTGTAAGTTTTACTCTTGACACAAAGTGCAGCGATAACTATGATGATGAGAACAATTGAGATAGCTGCCAGTGTCACCATGAACCATGTCTGGTGATAGAATGGCCGCTGTTGGAGATATCCATACTCTAGAAACCGCTTTGATGGAGTTACAATCTAAGAGAAAACAAATCAAATTCTTATAATCTTGCAAAACGTAAGCTGCAAATAACAGCGCAGTAATAGTTTATACTTCAAATATTAATAGTTAATAATCTTGTAAGAATAAATTTAACATTTCTGTCAAACAAATTCCCCATATTAACTGTGCTATCATCAATAATAAAATACACCAAGTGACCTGAAAAAATTAAGAGTGCAACATTCGAGGAAAATGAAAACACAAGTAGGGGGATGGAAAAAGTTTGGTGAGGAAGAGGAAAATTTGGGGGGAGAATTTTCTTTTGTTGTTGTTTTGGGGGAAGAGGAGAAAAAAAAAAAGTTAGTGGAGGGGTGAAGAGGCAAGTTGTGTTTGGCTAGGTAATTGATATACTATTTTCCTGGGGGTATATTTATCTTTCTAACATTCCCCTGAAGACTTTCATAATTTTCTGATGGGTTTACTCATGAAATTGCTACCCAACTGTATTGTCAGAAAATGTTTCATTCCTTCATAACTGTTTTTCTTTTACAATGGTTTCTTGGATTCTCTGTCTTTTTCCCTAATTATCAATTACACTTTTACCGAGTAGCAGAATGTCTGTATGCAACGACTGTTCACTTCTAGAGATACTGTATAATTTTTCTATTGGTTAATGATTCCAGTAACATGTGATGAAAACAGCAAGGACAATGCAAGCAATGATGATACTGACAGCTCCTGGCTTTAATATAACCTTGAAATATGAAAGATCACTGTATATATATAATTTTGCTGTATAATAACTTTCATTAATATTTCTATCAAAGGATTTCAAAACAGAAATTTCTGGATAGTCCAAGCTGGCATACCTTCTCATTAGCAACTGCTGGATATGATATGCCATACTTGTTGTAAGCAATAAGTCTAAATTCATATTGTGTAGATGGCAGCAAGTTCTGGTATGACACTGTGTACTCCTCCACCTCACCAGTTTCAGTCTTCATCAGTACTGACCATGTATCCGAGTCTGAAGAAACAAAGGTTATAGCACATTTTTTTGTAAAATTCTTTATTACTGTAATACTGTACAATATAAATTATATTAAAAGCAACTTTTTCCATAAAAGGTAGTCAAAGTTCTTTAAATTCAGAGCACTAGACTCAAATAGGGAACATTTACTATAATATTTCAAACTGCTCAAAATAAATTCTTGAAATGCTTAAAATAAGAAATTTATTTTAATTTATAACACAACCAAAATAATATACATTAAACATACAATAATTTGCTTAGTTTTAATACGAGATGCATCACAAGCTCATGCATAAACTGTACATAAAATTTTTTACTTCAATCTTTATGCAAGATTCTTTAGTTTTATTCAACAGTTTAAGAACAAACACTAAATTACTCATAAAAGATTCACATGTCAGCTTTTGTTAGTACTGATGCAAGTCTTATAGGAAAAGTGGTTATTTTTGTATTACCGTATATACTTGCATTTAAATCATGTCACTATGTCACATATTAACTTCTAAAATAAAGATTTTTCCTGTGCAGAAGGCTTCTTCTGTTGATTATAGTTGAATGTAAAACCAGAGACAGTAGAAGAATTAATTTTGTAGTGGTCAGTTCCTTAAAAATTCAGTGTTAGTCATGAAGAAGAGTGTTGCTCAGGCAATACAATTCAGGAATAATGATACCCAAGTGATGCACATGTGTCTTATTTTTCAACTTGTCAGTACTGTACAGAATATTGATATAATATTTCACAGCACATCTGTTCTTCCTGACTGATTTTCTAGTGAAAGTGGAATATCTGTTCAAAAATTTGTGAAATAATGATAGCTGAAGGGCAATCATCATTATGGTTGTTAGTAAAAAGAAACTTACACAACAAAAAAATACTCCAGTTAAATTAATTCATGAACCAAAAGAGAGAAAGATTCTTTAACAAGCTTCAAGTTATTGTACATGCATTCAGTAGTCCTCAGCTGTAATTAGTTTAACTAATTATTTCTTTCAAAATTTTCCACTTTTTTTTTTTTGACAAGTATATACAGTAAAGAAATTCTAATAGTGCAAAGCAAATGCCTGCTTTCCTGACTGGACTTTCCTCAGTTTACATACATGTGCATAGTAATTTTATTTTCTTTGATTATATTTTACCACAGATATCTAGCCCCTATAATTTACAAAAATTGCAAAGCAAATGCATGTCCCTTACTTTAACAGACTGATAACAGCAATTACACTGATACATGCTGATAAGATACTGTTCTTAATCAGTTCTGTGATTTGATTTTAAGACTTAAGTCAAAGAGTATTAAAAAAGACCATCATAAAACCATTAGATGCATTATAATATTCACTAATTAAGGGTTTTGAATACATTAAGTAGTTTAATAAACTATGACATTGCTACAGTATTAGTTTTTATGCAGCATTTAACAATTTATACAACAGAGCATGACAATGCAAATGTGACCAGAGTACCAAGTATGACAAATTTATTTTTAGTGTAAATAATAATAATTGTTAAAGTTGTGAAGGATGTGTGCACTGTATACTGATTATAATATACAGTATCTTTAATTCTGTGGTTCCTACATGCTCAAAATGATTCAAATGAGGTGGAATAATTACTCCAACAGTGCACTGTATGAAATATGTTTTAATTTATTCATAAGCAAAGAACTGTAATAGCAAGGATGCTATTATAGTTTTTTTATATATGATTTAATTCTCTCAGGAAATATAGCAGGAATAATTCTTTGGTAAAGTAGCCTTAAATACTAATACAGGGTAATACAACAGGAATAATTCTTCAGTAAAGCAGTCTTAAATGCTGATACTTTTGTGATCAATTCTGCACAAATGGTACTGATAATAAACTGCTCATATTAATCTTGCATCTACATTGTCAAAATATCTTTCTTGTAGAGTATTAAATTTCACAAATTCAATCAAATGAAAGCATCATAAAGGATAATGTAATATTAAAATATATATGCCTAATGCCTGAATCAATGTGATTACTAAGCTACCCAGCAAAATCTACTCAAATTATCCAATATATAAAGTAGAATTATAACTAAACCAGAACTAAAATTTTACCCTCTTATAAAGCAAGAAGCAAGTACGGCTACACTGCCACACCTCCTATACTTACACATCTGCCATTCAAAGGTGGCTGCTGTCGGGCAGGCGAGGAGGGTAAATATACAAAAGAGAAGAAAAACTTAGAAAACCACCACCATATACAGCCAAGATAACCTAACTACAGTGCAGTGCTGGAAAACTAATGCTTGAGGGTATGTCTACAAATATTTCAATCATGAGATAGAGTGCATCCCTCATTAAAGAACTCTGAATGAGCAGCTAGTATATTCAACAACTGCTACAGCCTTAGGACTTCATTAACCCTTTGAGGGTTTCGGACGTACTAGTACGGCTTACGACCCAGGGTTTTTGACGTACTAGTACGCCTAAATTCTAGCGCCCTCAAATCTAGTGGGAGAAAGCTGGTAGGCCTTCATATGAAAGAATGGGTCTATGTGGTCAGTGTGCACAGTCTAAAAAAAATCCTGCAGCACACAATGCATAATGAGAAAAAAAAAACTTTGACCGTTTTTTTGGAATAAAACAGCGACTTTGCACTGTATTTTCGTATGGTATTTACTGTTGTATTCTAGTTTTCTTGGTCTCATTTTATAGAATGGAAGACATATTACAGAAATTGAGATGATTTTGACTGGTTTTACAATGAAAGATACCTTGAAATTGAGCTCAAAGTAGCAGAAATGTTCGATTTTTACCAAATTTCAAAAGTAAACAAATCGTGCCAATGGTCCAATACACGTCAACTGGTGAGTCTAATATTCTTTCACAAGTGCACCAATAATATTTATACCATTTTTTACACTAATGCAGTAGTCTGCATAACAGTAAATCTTATATTTTTTGTGAGAATAAAAATTCAAAGTGGAAAGCAAAAGAATATAAGAGGGGCCTTGAGACGTGACTAATGACCAGAGGAAATGTCATTTTAGTGCCAGGAATGTCTTTCTTGTTTATTCTGGACCCTATTCGGAAATTGGCATCTTTTGAAATTTGTATGAAATTGGCAAAATTGCTATATTCTGACCACTGTACTGGATAGTTGAATTTCATAAATGGGTGGTTTCTTGCACCCATTCGATAGAAAAAATGGAGTTCTAGCGAAATATTTATGTTTTTTGTCGACTAGTACAGTGGAATTGGCCGAAAATGGGGCTCAAAGTAGGCAAAATCGCCGATGCATAAACATCCCCGAGACCGCTAACTTCGCGAGAGCATAATTCCGTAAGTTTTCCATCAAATTTCAAACTTTTGGTATCCTTATGATCGGGAAAAGATTCTCTATCTTTTCATAAGAGAAAATTATTTTTTTTTTTTTTAAATTTGGCCGACCCTGAGAACGAGTTTCGGAGAGGGCCTGTCGACCCTCAAAGGGTTAAAACAGAGATTAACTCTATGGCTGACAAATCCTACTTTCTAAACACACCCTGTATGTATATCATGCACACTGAATGTAATTACTGCAAGGATGCCAGGGTAGGCAGCAATACTGAAATGCTCACATCTACAATATTTAGATAAACTTTAATTCATACACAATGCTCACATCAAAATATTTTTAGTGCAATTTTTACAAAAATAAAGTTCAATTTATAAAAAAAAAAAATTATTTTGCAAAGTAATTGTTACAAAATAATGAAGGTGCAATGCAACAGTTTATGGCAGGCACAATTAAGATGTGTTCATGCTTGTGATAAATAAGCAGTGACTGTGACTGACAATGCAATGCTGCTTCAAGATTTAAAAACAGTGTACAGACATTAACAAATGGTAGTTTTTATTTATTATTTAGGTTAAATTAACTATTATTTCCTATTAAACAATAACAACTTGCTTACCAATTTTTCTTGCCTCGATATAATAGCCAAGGATTGAGTCCTTCCCAGAATGACTATTGCGCCAATGTAATGTCACACTGGACACAGTCTTGGTTAATGTTAGGTCTTTTGGCCGTGCTGGAGAGCCTGGCTGAGGCCCTGTTGTCACATTTGCTTGTACCTAATAAATATACAGATATACAATTATATTAAATAGTAAGTGAAAAATATTTTAAGTAATTCCTGTTTTCATAGCCAGGCAATCTAATATTCTAATTGCTACAGCTGACTGACATTCATTTCTTTGAGGAAATGCCTACAGTAGGGTTTTACCACACATTTCAATACATAACTCAGATACTGCATAAATAAGACTCGCAAAATTGTAATGACACGATTGCAAACAAACCATACCACGGGTGGGGATAGAACCAGCGATTAGAGAGTCTCAAAACTCCAGACCGTCGCGTTAGCCACTGGACCAGCTAGCCACAATAAGATTCGTCCAACTAGGTATATTTCTACACCATAGGAAGGTTAGCATGCGCATCACTGTGACCACAAATGCAAGTTTTTTCAGACAAATCTCCAGCTAGCGTGGCTGTGACGAACTCTAGCTCAAGTCCCCTCAAAGCTGTTAACATGACTCACGAAATCGTAATGACATGATTGCAAACAAACCATACCACGGGCGGGGATAGAACCCGCGATCAGAGAGTCTCAAAACTCCAGACCGTCGTGTTAGCCACAGTTGTGCCTATGCTAACCTTCCTATGGTGTAGAAATATACCTAGTTGGACGAATTTTATTGTGGCTAGCTGGTCCAGTGGCTAACGCAATGGTCTGGAGTTTTGAGACTCTCTGATTGCGGGTTCTATCCCCGCCCATGGTATGGTTTGCACAAATAAATTAGCTACTATTTTGCTTACACAGAAATAAGAATGTGTGAAAATATTAAAAGACTACCATCAGAAGTATTAAAACAGGACAAAACAAATGTAGCTGTAGAGAAAAAATATAGTTCACAAAGTAGGGCTACAGAAGAATATTAAACAAAAACACTTTAAAAATAAATTCTGTGTAGTATTTGCAGCACATCTACTGAAGAAGGAGCTTTGTTAAAACTTTGGACACCTCATCTGGCTAAACATTTAGAGGAAACTTCAATCACATTCTCTTTTTAACTTTTAGAGTTCAGAATTATTAAAAATACCTCTTGCTTACTATCCACTTTCTACATACAGATAATCCTAGCATCTCATTACCCCTGGAAACTTCCACCATATTCATTCACACATGATAAAATCCCTAAATGACATGGTTAGTAATTTATATTTTTCAGAAGGATATACATGTTCCTTCATACTGTAATGCAAGTTAAACCATGAGTTAATTTCTTCTTAAGACTTTAGAACTAGTGAACAATTTCACAATTAATATAAGGTAAATGACCAAGATATCAACCTATTTACCTCTGGACCATAATCAACAGTCTGTGCTCTAACGCTAAATTCGTAAGCAACTTCTTCTTCTAGTGATGTCACCAACAAGTATGAAGAAGTTACTTTCTGTTTTACTTGCTTACTAAAGTCTGAAATTATAAAATGAAAGTTAATGGCAAAGGTCAACTATAAAAAGGAATCAAGTGACAAAACAATTACAAAACTGATGCAATGTCCCAATAAATTTTGGAAGCATATAACAATTGCATGTAAAGTATACACCTTCAAAACCACCCCTTTGCAACCATGAAGATACTGGCTTACTGTATTTCCCAGTTTTGAGGGACTAAAATAAGATAAGGTTGAAAAACACATCTGAACTTAAATGACAAACATATCCCATCAGAGAATTCCAATTCTGCAAAAACTGAGGAAAAGTTTTGAGTTGTTAACATGCCTTCCACTCCTAGTGGAGACTGACTGCAATGTCCTCCTATAAATGGTACAGCATTATATTACAAAGTTATGATATAAATTATTGAATAATGAAGCTAATACATTTCAATAATAATAAATCATAATTTGGATTTTGCTATTCTTTTAAGAAATTCACAACCTCTCATACATCAAGCCGTAAATGTAACAACAATGAAGAAATACTAAAGTTTATATTCAAAAGTAAGAGTATTATCATCAGAATCATAAACTCTAAAAAGAGATGTACTTTCATTTAAGATGTGAAAGCATTTGGATTTAAAGAGTTAGTACCTGTACCATTAAATTATTTTTTTTTCAACAAACCGGCCATATCCCACCAAGGCAGGGTAACCTAAAAAGAAAAACGAAAGTTTCTCTTTTAAAATCTAGTAATGTACACAGGAGAAGGGGTTACTAGCCCCTTGCTTTCAGCATTTTAGTTGCCTCTTATGACACACATGGCTTATGGAGTTAGAATTCTGTTCCACTTCCCCATGGGGAATAAACTTTTTGTTATTACATAATATGGAAAACAATCTCATATTCAAAACTAAAATGGCATACAGTTGTCCACTCTATCAAGAAGCTTACTTTCATCAGGCCTGGCAGTCTCGTATGTAACAAGGTATCCCACTATCTTCCCATTCGGTCTTGCAGGAGCATCCCAAACAACTTTAAGGCTATTCATTGTGATGTCAGTGAAGCTTAAATTAGCAACAGGTCCAGGGAGATCTTGAAGTGTTCTTGCATACACAGGTTCTGACTTAGGGCCATCCCCAGCCGGGTTAAAGCACAAGATGGTAATAATATATCGTGTATACATGTCCAAGTACAGCAGTTCATAATTTGTAGTCGAGGCCCCAATTACTTCAATCTCTTCCGAGCCTTCTGGGTCTTTCTCGCTTCTGTAGAAAATCTTGTAGCCAAGAAGTTCCCCATTTTTATCCTGCTCCTCTGGTGGCTGATGTGAAAATAATTCTGTTTATTATCTAATATGTCATTAATACATTGTGGCAAGATTAAATATTACATTACTCATTATACAGTATATAATCAGGCTATTTCATTAATAAATTATAAATACAGGAAGGAACATTGCAATTATTCAATATTTAGCTTAAATTTTCAACAATGTCCTAGTAATCAAACAGAATCTATTATCATAAAGAGAAGCATACCTCCCAGGAAATTTTTACTTCAGTTGATGATAAAGCCTCAGCTTTTACATTCTTAGGATTGCCTGTTGGGACAGCTTCTCCTACATACACTGTGGATGGGGCAGATGATGGTGACTCTCCCTGAGCATTATAAGCTACCACCAACACTTCATAATTTGTATCCACCTGGCAAGTATAAATAGTACAGTGTAAATAAGTCAGGTAGCCAAAGCCTACAGGAAAAAAAATATCTGCAGTTCCTTCAGGAATTCATACCATGGAAAACTAAGTAAACTTATTCAGAATTGGTAGCAAGATATTATTTTGACTAGTCCTTTCATGACTCACATACTATATCAAATTACCAAGTTTCTATGCTATGTAAAAAGTTTTCAACTTTTGATTCAACAATGATTTCTGAAAGTTTTATAAGATTTCCTCTGCTCTCAATTTCTACTGTATCATGTTACTTAATGCTGCTCAAGTGATCTTCAAACTTCACTACTATTTCTAAATATTAAATAATTAATCAAGATTTAAGGCTCTGAGTAATATTCAAATTTAACAGGAATAAGAAATTTTAACATTCACTGAATATTTCTCAGGTCTCTCCTAATATTACATAACTTAACAGCACCTTACTGCTGAATCAAGTAAGTGTCGAGATGAGTGATAAAAATACAGCACATGCAGACAGATTTTCAAATTTAATGATAGAAAAGGGAAAACTAACATGAGGCTAAAATAATGAGAGAAAAATTCAGATGTACTGAATGGAGATCTGAGCTCTTTCATTCATTACACTGGATAAATATAGAAAGACATATTCAGTAAGAGGGAGCAAGGGGCTAGTAAACCCTTCTCCTGTATACATTACTAAAGTTAAAAAAAGAAACTTGTTTTTCTTTTTTGGGCCACCCGGCCAGCACAGTGAATAACTTGATTTTAGTATTCAGATGATGATCAGCTAAGAAATATTTACCTGTAGATCCTCTAATACAACTTCTCTAGCTAGAGTATCCTTCAACTCCTTCTGCTGCATACTGAAGGCTGTGGGAATGTCTGATATCTGACGAAATTTAACTCTGTAGCCACCAGTCTTGGTATCTCCACTCCAGGAGTTAGGGAAGAGGGGTGTCCATTCCACCCGCACACTCTTTGTTGTTATTGGAATGACCTGAAAAACCAAAAGCTAATTTGAGTAAGAAAATATTTTACTTAGTGCTTAAGCCTTTCAGGGTTGGTGCCATACTAGTACAGCTTGCACGCCAGGGTTGGTGCCGTACTAGTACGCATAAATTCTAGCGCCTTCAAATCTATCGAGAGAAAGCTGGTAGGCCCACACATGAAAGAAAGGGTCTATATGGTCAGTGTGCACAGTATATAAGAATTCTGCAGCACACAGTGCATAATCAGAAAAAAAAAAAAACTAAGACCGTGTTTTTGCTTTAAAACAGTGACTTTGCAGCGTATTTTCGTATGCTATTTATGGTTGTATTCTAGTTTTCCCAGTCTCATTTTATAGAATGGAAGACATTTTACAGAAATTGAGATGATTTTGATTGGTTTCACAATGAAAAGTACCTTGAAACTGAGCTCAAAGTAGCAGAAATGTTCAATTTTTGCCAAAGTTCAAAAGTAAACAAATCATACCACGTATCCAATACACATCAACTGGTGAGTCTAATATTCTTTCACAAGTGTGCTGATATTATTTATACAATTTCTACACTAATGCAGTAGTCTGCATAACAGTAAATCTCCTATTTTTTTCTGAGAATAAAAATTCAAAGTGGAAAGCAAAAGAAATGTAAGAGGCCTGGGGATGTGACTAATGAACAGAAATAATGCTCTTTTAGTGCCAGGAATGTTTGTCTTGTTTATTCTGGACCCTACTTGGAAATTGGCATCTTTTGAAATTTGTGTGAAATTGGAAAAATTGCCAATTTCTGACCACTTTATTGGATAGTTGAAATCGGTAAATGGGTGGTTTCTTATACTCATTCGATAGAAAAATAGAGTTCTAGCAAAACAGTTATGATTTTTGTCGACTGGCACATTGGAATTGGCCGAAAATAGGGCTCAAAGTGGGCAAAATCGCCAATGCGTAAAAATCGTCGAGACCGCTAACTTTGCGAGAGCATAATTCCGTAAGTTTTCCATCAAATTTCACATTTTTGGCGTCACTATGATCGGGAAAAGATTCTCTATCATTTCATAAGATTTTTTTTTTTTTTTTTTTTAAATTTCCAACCCTGAGAACAAGTTTAGGAGAGGGCCTGCCGACCCTGAAAGGGTTAATATCAAATGAGAAACAAAATAAATTGTTATTTCTTAAATATACTTCTGTTTATGTAAAATGCTTTAGAGTAATACTACTATTTGCTTAAGCAAAAGGCAATGATGATTTTTTTCTTTTTTTTTAACAAACCGGCTACTTTCCACCAAAGTAGGGTGACCCAAAAAAAGAAGAAATGAAAAGTTTTTTTTCCTTATTGTATTTAGTAATTTTACAGAAAGGGTTACCAGCCTCTTGCTCCTTGCATTTTAGTTACCTTTTATGATATGAATGGCTTATGGAGGAAGGATTCTTCTCCACTTCTCCATGGAGCCAGTGATATTATTTATTTTAATTTCCATTGATTATTTTGTAATAAGCTACTACCCACTGGATTCTATGTGTAGATATTTCAATTAAGTGGGATCTGATCAATGAATTCTAGCAAATTAGCAGTCTTGATTTTAAAGTTATTTTATAATAAAAGAGCTAATTCCTTCATCACACTGCTTTCTCTCTTGTCCACATACAGTTCATTACTATTTTCCCGTCATATCAATGGCTACAGTCAAGTAGCATGTTTATTAGTGCATAAATTCCAATACTATTTATTAGCAGCCAATTCATACCTTAATATCAGTTGGAGGTTCGACAGGTGCAGCAGGAAGCGTCCTGACCTCCACACTGCTGTCACTCCAACCACTTGCCCCAATGTCATTGGTTGCTTTAAGTCTAAACTTGTAAGCAGTAAAAGGCTTTAGATTCTCAGTAGTGTAGCTATTCCCAGAATAATCTATCCTTTCATCAATGGTTTGCCACCCACTGTTACTTTCAGTGTACTGGACAGTGTAATATCTGGAAAAGAAATTATTGTTCATTGAAATTAATCAAACTGATTAGTTACTACAGGATAAAAAAAATACTATACAGTATTATATGCCACAATATAAATACCAAGCAATAGCTATCTGCATACAGATCATACAAAAAGTAAAAGCATTTCCTATAATTGTCAAACCATTAACAATGCAAGCTCAAACTCACCTGATGGGAGCAAATCCATCCCTGCCAGGGTTCCAAGAGAAAGTTATTGTTCTTGATGTGATTTGAGAGTGTGAGACTGAAGGGCGAGAGGGAGGTGCAGGCAGTTCTCTGTTATTTGTCGTGTACACAGGAGCTTTTAATGCTTGGCCGTAACCTAGACGTGTGCGTGCACTCACTAGGAACATGTAGTAGCTCTCGGGCTTTAACTCTACCGCCCTGCAATGATGGATATCATTCAAAAGTTTTTTTTTTTTTTTTCAACAAGTCGGTCGTCTCCCACCGAGGCAGGGTGACCCAAAAAAAGAAAGAAAATCCCCAAAAAGAAAATACTTTCATCATCATTCAACACTTTCACCACACTCACACATTATCACTGCTTTTGCAGAGGTGCTCAGAATACAACAGCTTAGAAGCATATACGTATAAAGATACACAACACATCCCTCCAAACTGCCAATATCCCAAACCCCTTCTTTAAAGTGCAGGCATTGTACTTCCCATTTCCAGGACTCAAGTCCGACTACATGAAAATAATCGGTTTCCCTGAATCCCTTCACTAAATATTACCCTGCTCACACTCCAACAGATCGTCAGGTCCCAAGTATCATTCGTCTCCATTCACTCCTATCTAACACGCTCATGCACGCTTGCTGGAAGTCCAAGCCCCTCGCCCACAAAACCTCCTTTACCCCCTCTTTCCAACCCTTTCGAGGACGACCCCTACCCCTCTTTCCTTCCCCTATAGATTTATATGCTTTCCATGTCATTCTACTTTGATCCATTCTCTCTAAATGACCAAACCACCACAACAACCCCTCTTCTGCCCTCTGACTAATGCTTTTATTAACTCCACACCTTCTCCTAATTTCCACACTCCGAATTTTCTGCATAATATTTACACCACACATTGCCCTTAGACAGGACATCTCCACTGCCTCCAACCGTCTCCTCGCTGCTGCATTTACCACCCAAGTTCACATCCATATAAGAGTGTTGGTACTACTATACTTTCATACATTCCCTTCTTTGCCTCCATAGATAACATTTTCTGACTCCACATATACCTCAACGCACCACTCACCTTTTTTCCCTCATCAATTCTATGATTAACCTCATCCTTCATAAATCCATCCGCCGACACTTCAACTCCCAAGTATCTGAAAACATTCACTTCTTCCATACTCCTCCTCCCCAATTTGATATCCAATTTTTCTTTATCTAAATCATTTGATACCCTCATCACCTTACTCTTTTCTATGTTCACTTTCAACTTTCTACCTTTACACACATTCTCAAACTCATCCACTAACCTTTGCAATTTTTCTTTAGAATGTCCCATAAGCACAGTATCATCAGCAAAAAGTAACTATGTCAATTCCCATTTTGAATTTGATTCCCCATAATTTAATCCCACCCCTCTCCCGAACACCCTAGCATTTACTTCTTTTACAACCCCATCTATAAATATATTAAACAACCATGGTGACATTACACATCCCTGTCTAAAACCTACTTTTACCGGGAAGTATTCTCCCTCTCTTCTACATACCCTAACCTGAGCCTCACTATCCTCATAAAAGCTCTTTACAGCATTTAGTAACTTACCACCTATTCCATATACTTGCAACATCTGCCACATTGCTCCTCTATCCACTCTATCATATGCCTTTTCTAAATCCATAAGTGCAATAAAAACTTCCCTACCTTTATCTAAATACTGTTCACATATATGCTTCAATGTAAACACTTGATCTACACATCCCCTACCCACTCTGAAGCCTCCTTGCTCATCCGCAATTCTACATTCTGTCTTACCTCTAATTCTTTCAATTATAACCCTACCGTACACTTTTCCTGGTATACTCAGTAAACTTATTCCTCTATAATTTTTACAATCTCTTTTGTCCCCTTTCCCTTTATATAAAGGGACTATACATGCTCTCCGCCAATCCCTAGGTACCTTCCCCTCTTTCATACATTTATTAAACAAAAGCACCAACCACTCCAACAATATATCCCCCCCTGCTTTTAACATTTCTGTCATGATCCCATCAGTTCCAGCTGCTTTACCCCCTTTCATTCTACGTAATGCCTCACGTACCTCCACCACACTTACATTCTGCTCTTCTTCACTCCTAAAAGATGGTATACCTCCCTGGCCAGTGCATGAAATTACCACCTCCCTTTCTTCCTCAACATTTGAAAGTTCCTCAAAATATTCTCGCCATCTACCTAATACCTCCCTCTCCCCATCTACTAACTCCCCTACTCTGTTTTTAACTGACAAATCCATACTTTCCCTAGGCTTTCTTAACTTGTTTAACTCACTCCAAAATTTTTTCTTATTTTCATTAAAATTTCTTGACAGTGCCTCTCCCACTCTTTCATCTGCTCTCCTTTTGCACTCTCTCACCACTCTCTTCACCTTTCTTTTACTCTCCGTATACTCTGCTCTTCCTTTAACACTTCTGCTTTGTAAAAACCTCTCGTAAGCTACCTTCAAAAGTTATAATGAAATAATATAGTTATTCTTTTGCACACTGACGAGAAATCTTTCTCTATTTTTGACGGTTCATTGTTTTACAGAACTCCGCATTTTTTAAGTTGTGCATACTGTAGTAAGGATGAATCATAAAAAATATAATCTATTAAATTTAAAAAAAATTCTGTTGACATTCATGCCTATAAACAAGACATCCATATATTTACTTGTAAGTACGTGTAGTAGGACCAAACTCCAAAGTATTGTTGACATCTGTGCTCTCAGCTAGATGGTACACAATGGAATATGCTGTTATCTCACCATTTGGCTCTTCTGGGACATCCCAAATAATGCGTGCGTATGTGAAGGACACATCAGGAAAAGAGATTTCTGATGGTGGCCCAGGAACTGAAAGATAATTAAGAAAAATTCTGTATATTCTGTGAAATAAGCCATCTTAGATAAGCTACATACAGCAAATTTTAATCAAGTACACAACAACAGTATAGGCATCATAACCTACATTACTAATGAAGATTAATACATAGCATTAATTATAGTGGTTCATGGAGTTATGGCATTAATACACTCCAGAAGACATATCATACCTCTAAGCTATTGTAACTCCAACTTTAAAATACATGGTTTTATGGTAATATATTACAAGTCCCCAGAAGTATAACCTTTACTGTACCTTGGGCATGTATGCTCAGAAATAACTTGCAGGCACTGTACCTCCCTTCATTTGCTTTTCTCTTGTCCACATCAACAACAGTCTTTCCACCTACATGATAATTTCTCTACCTTTTTTTCACTAGCTTAGATTCATCTATTCCCTTGATAATAGCAGTTATGGTTGATTGTAAAAAGCTATATTCATGCACAAATACACTAATTTCTTGCTTGATCTTCAGAGAAATAACCGATTTACTGCACATTTTAGGAAGTATAATGACTTGGTATTGCAAAAGATGGTGTAATTAAAACACAAATGCAGTTAGGAAGGGTAAATAATCCAGAATTATTACATGGAAACAATTGTGAGGGTTAATCGTAACTCCAGCCCACTGTAACTCCAGGGAACACTGTATATAAACTACACATTTACAGTAGGGCCCCGTTTTACGGCGTTTCGCCTTACAGCGTTCCGCTAATACGGCAATTTAAAATTATGACCAAAATTTGCTATATGGCGAGCGCCACCCAGTTTGTTTACATCCTCTGTGAGCACAACTCTCTATTATGTCTGGACATTTTCCAAAATTTCAAGTGTTTTAAAGTTATTGCATATTTTATAGGTACTCTGATAATCATAATTATGTGTACCTAAATATACTTACACACTGCTGTGCTGGCGTGCAGGAACGCATTAAAATTACTAAGTCTCTCTCTACTCGACACCATATAATCTCTTGGGCGCATTAAATGTCGTATATTATGTTAATATAGACATTTCCATTAATCCACCTACATTTTTTTCAAAATTATATAATGAAGATGCTACGTAACATATAAACATGATACATGCACCCACAGTATAAAAATTGACAAATACGAGATTTGTTTACCAAGCGTTTGGTAGGAGAGTCGAAGAATTACGTTTTCTCTAGTCAAACACCAGTAACTTAACTAGAAATTTATTCCTTTCATATGCCTTCACTCTACCTATAGCTATTCACGACCCTTGTGAGTTTAGTGCTTCTTTTTTATGATTATAATAATAATAACTTGTAATAACAACAACAACTTGTAACAACAACAACAACTTGTAACAACAACAACTTGTAATAATTTGTAATAAATTGTAACAACAAATTGTAACAATAACAACTTGTAATACCAACAACTTGAAATAATAACTTGTAATAACAACTTGTAATAACAGTAACAACTTGTAATAACAACAACTTGAAATAATAACTTGTAATAACAACAACTTCTCCATGGGGAAGTGGAACAGAATTCTTCCTCCGTAAGCCATGCGTGTTGTAAGAGGCGACTAAAATGCCAGGAGCAAGGGGCTAGTAACCCCTTCTCCTGTATATATTACTAAATTTAAAAAGAGAAACTTGTTTTTTCTTTTGGGCCACCCCACCTCAGTGGGATACGGCTGGTACGTTGAAAGAAAGAATAACAACAACTTGTAATAACAGCAACAACTTTAAATAACTTGTAATAACAACAACTTGTAACAACAACTTGTAACAACAAATTGTAATAACAAATTGTAATAACAAATTGCAACAACAAACTGTAACAACAACTTGAAATAATAACTTGTAATAACAACAACTTGTAATAACAACAATTTGAAATAATAACTTGTAATAACAACTTGAAATAATAACTTGTAATAACAACAACAACTTGAAATAACAACTTGAAATAACAACTTGAAATAACAACTTGTAATAACAACTTGTAATAACAACTTGTAATAACAACTTGTAATAATAACTTGTAATAATAACTTGTAATAATAACTTGTAATAATAACTTGTAATAATAACTTGTAATAATAACTTGTAATAATAACTTGTAATAATAACTTGTAATAATAACTTGTAATAATAACTTGTAATAATAACTTGTAATAATAACTTGTAATAATAACTTGTAATAATAACTTGTAATAATAACTTGTAATAATAACTTGTAATAATAACTTGTAATAATAACTTGTAATAATAACTTGTAATAAAACTTGTAATAAAACTTGTAATAATAACTTGTAATAATAACTTGTAATAATAACTTGTAATAATAACTTGTAATAATAACTTGTAATAATAACTTGTAATAATATAATACTTGTAATAATAACTTGTAATAATAACTTGTAATAATAACTTGTAATAATAACTTGTAATAATAACTTGTAATAATAACTTGTAATAATAACTTGTAATAATAACTTGTAATAATAACTTGTAATAATAACTTGTAATAATAACTTGTAATAATAACTTGTAATAACAAAAACAACTTGTGACAATAACAACTTGTAATAATAACAACAACTTGCAATAATAATTTGTAATAATAATAATATCAGAGCATCATTCCTTCTAAAAATTACACGAGAATGGAAGTGTTGGTCTTTATTTATTCTACTGTATCAACGTGGAGACAACTTGTACTCAATGTAGTGTTTTTATTATGGTATAATACAAACGTGTATGAACAAACACCAGACGTGTTCGCCTGGTTTGTTTACATTACGTGTGGGTGGGGTGGGGCAGGGAGGGCTGCCTACCATGCTTTCCAAATCTGACTTTCTACAAATAAAATTCACCTCTCACCCTACATTAAGACTACAAACATTTTAGTAATTAATAAATGTACTGTATTTCTATTTTATTGCTCTGGGGTGCTTTAATTAAATGTCGTAGCATATTACATGTGGGTGGGGAGGGGTGGGGTGGGGTGGGCTGACCTGGCTGGCTACCATACCTCCCAAACCTGACTTCCTACAAATAAAACTCACCTCTCACCCTACATTAAGACTACAAATATTTTAAGGCAAGTAATGGGTGTACTGTGTGTGTATCATACTTTTTATTGTTTTTAATGCCTAGTTCTATTGCTAACTTAATATATGTTAATGTAAACATGTTATCTGGCATTTATATGCATTTATAAGTGGAAAAAATGGCATTCTGCTTCCCGCCGATGTCTGCTTTCCGACATTAGGCTGGAACCTAATCTGGTGTATAAGTGGGGCCCTACTGTACTGCATATGACAAAGAATATCTTTAGTTTCCTTTTTTTTTGAGAGGGGAAGACAGCCAGTGTGTTAAAAAAATATTTTGCCCTTATACAACTGTACATTTATGATGATGTCTCATTACCAGATATAAAAGGTATTTGAGAGGGCTTCAGCATTTGGCAGTTAATTCACAAATCCAGCCCTTCTCGCTCATATATCTGTCTAACCTATATTAAAGGCTGCCCCAGGTTTTAGTTTCAATGACTACATGGCAGACTGTTCTACTCATCTACAACTCTACTGCTATAACACTACTCTCCTACAGATGGGATCCACCCCTGAAGTTCTTTCAAGATTCCACTTCTATCACCTCACCTTTTCTAAATGCACAAATTGGTATATTTTATTATGTAATATGGCACACAAATCTTAAAAGATACAATGATGGCACAGAGACGAAGTATACAATGCATGAGGTTTGAGATAGAGGGCCACAAACTAGACGAAACGTCTATATACTATTTTGCAGGCAACTAAATGTAACATACAATACTCTACATATATATAGTATACACAAATCATAGCCATTTCAAATGAAGTATCACACAAATTGAGTTTATATCAGAAACCATCTTTGCTACTAAGCATCAAAATTATATCCAACCAAACAAAAATATGTATCCTCAATACCACAACAATGTGTGTGTTTAGCAGCAACTGAAGGGTGATAAGTATATACAAGTAACACTGGTAACTATATATAATATCCATTACTTACCATCTTCATGGGTTTGTACTAAGAGAGGTGGAGTGGATAATGTTCCATCACCCAGCCTAGTATAGGCCAAAACTTGTACAGTATACTGGTAATACTTTCGAAGCTGGGTTATGGTTGCAGCAAATGTATTATTGTTGCGGATCACTTTCTCTTGTGGCTTCATGTTTTTACCTAGAATGAAAAAATAGTAAATTCAGCAATCACAATTGCTAAAAATTTTGTGTGTGTGACAGAATAAGAAATAAACTGGATAAATACCATTTTAACTTGTTAGGACACAGATGATGCTGGAAAAAATAAAAGAAACTCTTACCTAATGAGCAAAGGTCATTTTGCACATTAAAACTTTCAAACATTCTAAAATACTGCATTTTACTTTACCTATAACATCTTGCATATATTTAGCACTATTAATAACATAACATTACAAGGTATATAAAATCCCATATTTTATCAAATGAAGATGAAAGGAAATTGTAACATAAACCGAGAAGAGTGAGGAGGCGGTTGGAGGCAGTGGAGATGTCCTGTCTAAGGGCAATGTGTGGTGTAAATATTATGCAGAAAATTCGGTGTGGAAATTAGGAAAAGGTGTGGAGTTAATAATAGTATTGGTCAGAGGGCAGAAGAGGGGTTGTTGAGGTGGTCTGGTCATTTAGAGAGAATGGATCAAAGTAGAATGACATGGAGAGCATATAAATATGTAGGGGAAGGAAGGCGGGGTAGGGGTCGTTCTTGAAAAGGTTGGAAGGAAGGGGTAAAGGAGGTTTTGTGGGGGAGGGGCTTGGACTTCCAGCAAGCATGCATGAGCGTGTTCGATAGGAGTGAATGGAGACGAATGGTATTTGGGACCTGACGAGCTGTTGGAGTGTGAGCAGGGTAATATTTAGTGAAGGGATTCAGGGAAACCGGTTATATTTATATAGCTGGACTAGAGTCCTGGAAATGGGAAGCACAATGCCTGCACTCTAAAGGAGGGGTTCAGGATATTGGCGGTTTGGAGGAATATGTTACGTATCTTTATACGTATATGCTTCTAAACTGTTGTATTCTGGGCACCTCTGCAAAAACAGTGATTGTGTGTGAGTGACGTGAAAGTGTTGAATGAAAGTATTTTCTTTTTGGGTCACCCTGCCTCGGTGGGAGACGGCCGACTTGTTAAAAAAAAAAAAAAAGTAAAAATAGATCTAACCGAAGAAAGTGGAATAATAACTAGATCATCAAGGAGAAATTATTTTGTTAACAAAATTATAATTACATTTCTTACAGTATAATTCCTATTATAAAAGGAATCAGTCAGTCTAGTGACAACCTTTATTAACCGTTTCAGTGTCAGAACCCCTGATCTGAGAATTGCTCTCAGGGTCAAAAATAAAGTAACAATTATTATGAAATAACAGAGAACCTTTTTCTGAAGGTAATGAAACCAAAAGTATGAATTTTAATGGAAAAATGCATGGAATTATGCTCTCACAAAGTTAGTAGTCTCAGCGATATGTACGCACTGGCAATTTTGCCCACTCTGAGCCTTATCAGCCAACTCCAGTGTTCCAATTGACCTAACTTGCCGCTATTTTGCTAGTATTCCTTCTGTTCTATCAAATGAGTACAAGAAATTCCCCATTTACAGTGGACCCCCACCTTACGAACGCATCACGTTACGTTAAATCCGCCATACGATGCATTTGAATGCAAAAATTTTGCTTCGCCTCATGATAAAAAACTCGCCTTATGTGATTTGTCCGGGACATGTCCCACATGTGGCCTCAGCTGCCCCGTGGGTGCCAGTGTTTACAAGCCAACCAGTGCGGTTGCATCTAAGCATACATTAGGTACATTTCATATTATCACAGTTTTTCGTGCGTGTTTCTGCAAAATAAGTCACCATGGGCCCAAGAAAGCATTTACAGCCCATGCTTCACACCCATATAAGAGTGTTGGTACCACTATACTCTTGTGCATTCCCTTCTTTGCCTCCATGGATAATGTTCTTTGTCTCCACAGATACCTCAATGCACTACTCAACTTTTTACCTTCATCAATTCTATGGTTAACCTCATCCTTCATAAACCAATCTGCTGACACGTCAACTCCCAAATACATCTGAAAACATTCATTTCTTCCACACTCCCTCCCGCCAATGTGATATCCAATTTTCCTTTCTAAATCATCTGATACCCTCATCACTTTACTCTTATCTATGTTCACTTTCAACTTTCTACCTTTACATAACCTCCCAAACTTGTCCACTGGTGGTGGATGGTTTTGTGTCTGTGGTACCCCTGCACCATGTGGTGTTGGGGACCTAGGTTGCTGAACATTTTAGACTACTGATGAATTAATATAGGCAGGATTAAGTTGACGACACGAGACAATTGCAAAGATCATTGGATTACAAAATGAAGGCCATCAAATAAAGGAACTAGTAGAAGCAACCAATATGTGCGAGTGTCCAGCTAAGATGTGGTTGCATCAGTTTCTTGAGGATATGGTTGATGACATGCCCATACCAAAAAGCATGTCCAGGGAAGCCTCTAAAAATGTTCCCACTAACGTATACCTGCTCTCTTACCATTTGCCTGAATCTTTCATACAGTGTGGTGCAAGGGTTTTATGCAAGACAGAGCTCCTTGCAACACCACAAAATCTGTTGTTCAGTGGTTTCAATGCCTGTGGAGTACCCTTCTACGAATGCCCAGGATATTCCCCAGACTTTAACCCCCACTGAGAACCTCTTGGCTGTGATGGAGAGATCTACTAAGGAAAGGATATCAGTCCAGTCCCACGGTTTTAGAACACTGTCTACAAGCTGAGGGGAAATTTGCCCATGAAACCCTGAAGAATGTGTTAGTCACTTCCTAGACAGCTGAAGAGGTCTTAAAACACAAGGAATTACCTAGTTTGGGGTTGTGGTTTTAGAGGGGGAGCCATTGTACTTTAATGACGAGGGATGTATGCTGTGATGTAATCAAGGCATTTTCCAATCATTTAAAATTTTTGTTTTTCTATAGTTTTCATTTCATTCATTCATTAGGGATTTGCCGGTATTTCCGGCCCAAGTCTTCTCCAGATGGTGACCCGGCAGTGGCCCCCAGACTGGGGGCGACGTTCATCTTCTTCTTTCTTCTGTCTTCTTTCTTGGGCCCTCCGGGTGGAGGGTAACATCATCATCTCTCTTGCGGTGACTCCCCGGGGGAAAGTGTTGTCTCACTTCGTATCTTCATCAGCAAGCGTCATCTTGGTCTTCATCAGCAGGCGTCCACTTGGGCTTCATCAGCAGGCGTCTCTAGGGCCCAGGGTCTTTGGGCACTTGTTGCCTCAACAATTGTTGGTTGTGTGGCATGGGCTCTAGATAAGTTCAGGCTTCTACCTAGTAAACTAATACAGGCGCCATTGGATTTTTTTTTTTTTTTTTTTTTTTTTTTAGCAGTGGGGAAGGGAAGATAGGGGTGAAAGACAGGAAGAAAGGGGGGGTAGGAGAGTCGAAAGATGGGGAGAGGTAGTGGCGAATAGTCTATATGTGGCGCTGTCATCGAGGCAGCGGGTGGGCAGCCAGGACGGGGATGAGAGTTCCCAGGTCTCGGACGGCCAGGTACACCAGCCAGGCTGCAGTGTCTTCTCGGGTCGGGTCCCCAGGTGCCATTGGGAAGTGCCTCCGTCGGAGTGGCACCATCGCTGGGCAGTCGAGAAGGTAGTGCACTAGTGGCTTGGGAACCATCTGGTCACAATGGCAGCAGCGCTCCTCTCGCACGCATTCGATGAGTCTTCTGGTGGTAGGGTAGCCAAGTCGCAGCCAGTGGATCCCAACCTGCAACTTCCTGTCTAGCCTCCGCATGCTCAGTAGGGGCTCCCCTCAGTTTTCATTTATTAAATCTCTTCCCTATTAACTTTTTAATAACACCAAAAAGTTCACTGCTTACAAGGAATCCTCTTTCATATAGTATGTCTCAAATTACAAAAATTTTTTTTTAACTGTATAATACATTGATACCTCGGTATGCGTTCTTAATCCGTTCCAGTACCTTGGACTTATACCAAACAGGACGTATACCAAACAAATTTTCCCATAAGAAATATAGGGAAAACAATTAATCCGTTCCTACGAAAAAAATCCTGTTCTCATTGGCATATTATACATTGATGGGGTTGTATCAAATAATTTAAACACTGTTTAATACTAAAATATGTAATTTCAATACTGCTTAATACTAAAATACATACATAAATACAAAAGAATTAGATGAAATAAATGCAAATTTAACCTCGCTTTACTTTGCTAATAGTACGTAATAATAATCACTCTTGAGCACATTAAATGTCTTATTTTATGTTAATATAGGCATTTTCATTAATCCATCTATGATATTTTCTTCAAAATTATATAAGAAATGCATTACATAGCATATAAACATGCTATGTTTATATGCCAGGTGGAGGGAAAACATTACATTTTCTCAGGTCCAGCACCCGAGAAAACGTGTATGAATCTGCATCTGGCCTAGTCACTCCACTCTCGTTTACAATTCTCGGAATGAATTATTCATTTCTTCCTTTGTTTATGATGGCATCTAAAGGTAGTTGTTAGAAACGATTAAATTCAATGAACAAGATATGTTGGTGGTAATAATATGGTTCTGGGCCGCAGAGTAACAGTGTAGCGCATGGTGTCATGACTCATTTTGACCCATACAAGTTCTAGCATGCGAGTCATATTCCAAAGGTCAAATACCAAGGAAAAAATTTTGTGTCCAAACAGGACGTATACCAAGTTGGACTTATTCTCAGGCAGATGTGTACTGAGGTACTACTGTACTCATTAAAAGTTACCCTTAATACATTGTATTCATGAATACTGTTGATAATCAGAATCACATATGTGACAAAACTTACCAACATAAACCACTTTGTACCCTTCTATGATACCATTTTGGTGAATCTTGGGCACTTCCTTCCAACGTACGACAATTGTGGTTGAAGACGTTGCATTCGCACTCACGTTATCAGGTCCAGCACTTGGCACTGAAAGTCATATGATATTTCATTGGTAAAATTTAAACACTATTATGCAAGTTTGTATTTTGAGAATGATATGATTAAAACACAAACACGAGTTTAAATCTGGTTTTCCTTCAGCATCAGAGTGATATGTAAAGATTATCTTATCACTAGAAAAAATAGAAATGGCTACTAGAAAAGTATTACATTTGAAATATATTTTGCAGAACCTGTATTATATAGACACAGCATGCTTATAAACATAAATGGCTTTGTTAGAGATAATAAACTGGAGGAAAAAAAAAAAAAAAAAGGCTACACTTGTGCCAAGTAGGTTCTCTCAAGGGCATGAGAGACAGATAGGTGCAACAGTATAAGCTCTCTATATACTATTACACACAAACATGAACTAACAGCTACCTTCACAGTTCTAGTTACAAAGATGTTGTGGGGACCTGTGTCTCTTGATGCTACTTTTCAGTCATGGAGCAATTGCCAAATACTCGAAAGAAAAAAAGAAAAAAATTTAACATACCGACTGTCTCCCACCGAGGTAGGATGACCAAAAAAGAGGAAACACTTTCACCATCACTCACACTATCGTTGTCTTGCCAGAGGTGTTCCAATACTACAGTTCAGATGTCCCCCCAAACTGCAAATATCTCCACCCCCTTCTTCAGAGTGCATACACAAATAACCCACACATAAAAGAGAGAAGCAGACGACGACGTTTCGGTCCGACTTGGACCATTGACATGTGCAGACATTGTACGTCCCACTTCCAGGACTCAAGTCCAGTTAACCAATTTTTCCAATTCCTTTCATAAATGTTACCTTGCTTCCACTCCAACAGCATATTGTCATAAAAACCACTTGCCTCCAGCAGGATTGGATATAAAACCTCCTCTACCCCCATCCCTCCAACCTTTCCTAAGAAGACCCCTACCCGGTCTTATCTTCACTACAGATTTATATACCCTCCAAGTAATCCTATTTTACTCCATCCTCTCTAAATATCCAAACCATCTCAACAACCCCCTCCTCAGCACTCTGGATAATACTTTTAGTAACCCCACACCTCTTACTAATTTTTAAACTACGAATTCTCTGCATAATATTTACACCACACATTGCCCTCAAACACGACATTCCCACTGTTTCCAGCCTCCTCCTTGCCACTGTATTCTATATTCCCTTTTTACCTCTGTGAATAACATTCTGTCTCCACAAGTGCCTCAATGCACCACCCACGCTTCCCTCACTCCCTCATCAATTCTATGATTCACCTAGCCTTTCATAGACCCATCTACTGACAAGTTCACTCCTAAATATCTGAACACACTCACTTCCTGGATCCATACTCCCTCCTTCCAATCTAATATCCAATCTTTCATTACTTAAATATGTTCACTTTTAATTTCCTTCTTTTACATACCCTCCCCAATTCTTCCACCAACCTTGGAAATTTTCTTCATTATCTCCCAAAAGTATAGTGTCATTGGCAAAAAGCATCTGTGACAACTCTCACTTGAATGAATTAGATTCTATATATTTTAATCCCACACCTCTCCCCAACAACCCCATCTATAAATATGTTAACCAAGGTGACATCACACAGCCCTGTCTAAGGTCTACATTTACTGGAAAATAATCTCCCAGAAAATCACAGAATGAACCTTATCTAATCTAAAATGATAAAATTAAGAACAATACCAAGTACACAGCACAGTTACTAGCAGAGCAAATAACAGTGGTTTAGCATTCAAGTTAAACAAACACTACAATACTAAGTATCATATAATTTGGGAAACATGGTAAATTTGTTATACAATAAATAAACAAAGACCAATACAAGGACAGAAATTTATCTAAGCACACAAAATTAATTATGTGCTGTTATATGATAAAATTTACATACCCCTTAGCAACTTTAGTTTCCTGATTAAAGCTATTACAAAAAAAAAATCTTTTCAATTTTTCTATTTGCAGCCATAGATAAGAATTCTTTATTAGATAAAAGTATTATTATTATTTTTTCAGTTCCTTGTGTAAGAGCAAAATAAGTCAGTGAATATAATTAATAAGGTACCATAAATTTCAGATTCTTTGGCTTCATGAAAATCTACCATGTATACATAATTCTCTTAATAAGATATTTAGGACACTGAGGCTACAAAGGCAGCAACTGCTATATAAACATGCGAGCCTTGATACTTACCAATGCCTTCATAAAGTACTTTTAATCAATAATTGCAGTACTACACCACAACAATTTCCAACATTCCTCTGTGTACCATTAATTCTAAGACAATCACTAGAACATCTTATATGATGTTATTTGACAGGAAAAAATTTAATCTTCAAGCATTGGTTGTGAAAGCATTGCCCTCCCCACCGCCCTGTCTCTGATACACACATTTATCTTGGAAAAGACTTGCATATATTAACTGAATATTCTATATAGAGTCAACATGTTCAGTGTTGTAGTTACTACTACCAGAGTGAGACATCAAGAATATAAGACATGCATATATTTTCAATCTGAGATGTAATTTAAATGTGACTCATAGGAACCTTTCCTAACAAGACCATGAAAATTAAAAGCATTTTTCTCTTATAGTATAACAATCACAAGTAAGCAAGATAAAATAGATTTAGCCAGTGAACAAATATTACATAACACTTCAAATCAAAACTAAATTGCTCGGAGCATTTCACATAAATAAAATTCTTCAGAGGCTAGCAGCCCCTTCTCCTGTATACATTACTAAAGCTAAGAAGAGAAACTTTAGATTTTCTTTTTAGGTCACCCTGCCTCGGTAGGGTGACCTAAAAAGAAAACCTAAAGTTTGAAGAAAAAAAAAAAAAAAATCTTCAGCTCACCAGATTCTCGAGTTCTTTCTATTGCAGCAGGAGCCAAAGACGATGGACCAATGTCATTTACTGCAACCATTGTCACTTCATATTGTGTGTACTCTTGCAAAGATACCAGCTGATGTGAATTAGCAGTGTTGTCGTAAACAAAATCTTCAGAAAATTCACACTCGCATCCAAGTGGTCGATATCTGATACGGTAGCCCTGTGGTGCACCATACCATTCAAACTGCTGTAAAGGCTGTTAAAAAATTGCATATATTAACCCTTTGACTGTCGCGGCCGTATATATACGTCTTACGAGGTACAGTGTTTGACGTATATACATGTATACTCATAAATTCTAGCGGCTTCAAATCAAGCAGGAGAAAGCTGGTAGGCCCACATGTGAAAGAATGGGTCTGTGTGGTCAGTGTGCACCATATAAAAAAATCCTGGAGCACGCAGTGCATAATGAGAAAAAAAAAAAAACTCCAACCGTTTTTTTTAATTAAAATGCTGACTTTGTGGTCTATTTTCGTATAGTATTTATGGTTGTATTCTCGTTTTCTTGGTCTCATTTGATAGAATGGAAAACATATTATAGAAATAGAGGTGATTTTGATTGAGAACCTAGAAATGGAGCTCAAAGTAGGGGAAATGTTTGATTTTTACCAATGTTCAAAAGTAAACAAATGATGCCATTGTCCAATAAATGTCCAACTAGCCATTCTAATATGCAGTCATAAATGGGTTGATGTTATTTATACAATTATTACAGTATTGCAGTAGTCTGCATAACAGTAAATCTTGTATTTTTTGTTTGAATAAAAATTCAAAATAGAAAGCAAGAGTAATATCAGAGGGGCCTGGAGACATGACTGATGAACAAAGAAAATGTTATTTTAGAGCCAGGAATGTCTGCATTGTTCATTCTGGACCTTATTTTGAAATTGTCATATTTTTTTAGTTTTCGTGAAATTGGCCAAATTGCAAATTTCTGACCACATTATTAGGTAGTTGAAATTGGTAAATGGGCAGTTTCTTGTACTTGATCGATAGAAAAAAATGGACTTCTAAAGAAATAGCTATGAGTTTGGGCGACTGGAACAATGGAATTAGCCGAAAATAGGGCTCAAAGTGGGCGAAATCGCCGATTTGTAAACAGCGCCGAGGTCGCTAACTTTGCGAGAGCATAATTCCGTCAGTTTTCCATCAAATTTCGTTTTCTTGGTGTCATTACAATTGGGAAAAGATTCTCTATCATTTCATAAGAAAAAATATTTTTTTTTTTTTTTAAATTTTGTGACACCAGGAGACACCTCAGGATTGGGGGTTGTGACAGTCAAAGGGTTAACATACTGTGCATTTCTCTTCAATAACAAGTCCATTAAAAACCACTTGTCACCACTTGTCACTGAATCTGTTTGGTTACAGCTTCTCGAGGGCCGAGAAAAACTAATTTTGGGTGTGATTTACAGGGCCCCAAATCTTGATAGGGAGTGCAGTAAACTTCTATGGGACGAAATTCGTAAGGCATCTACATACGAAAATGTTGTGCTAATGGGAGATTTCAACTATAGACAGATTGACTGGAGCAATTTGACAGGAAATTTAGAGTCAGGTGACTTTCTTGATACGATCCAGGATTGTTTTTTTAAAACAGTTTGTGACAGAGCCAACTAGGGGAAATAACCTCCTTGACTTGGTTCTTGCCAGTAGGGAAACACTAATTAACTGAGGTTAATGATGAGCTTGGGGAAAGTGATCACAAATCACTCTGTTTTAATATAGCATGGAATTCCCCTAATAATGGCAATCAAGTCTCTGTCCCTGACTTCCGCTTGGCTGATTTCATAGGACTGAAAAATTACTTAAGTGGGCTGAACTGGAATGACCTGACTAAGGGTCAGGTAGGTGGTGATGGTTGCCGATATGACACTTTTCAGGGCATAGTTCTAGCTGCTCAGTCAAATTATGTTCCAAATAGGGAAATCAGATCAAACAAAAATGATCCTAAATGGATGAACAATAGATTAAAATATCTAATTGGTCAAAAGAGAGTAATATATAGGCAAATCAAAAGAGGAGAGGGGCAATTAAAAAATCGATATATTCAGTTAAAGAGAGAAATAAAAAAAGGAATTAGAAAAGCAAAGAGAGATTATGAGGTTAAAGTTGCAAGAGATTCGAAGACTAACCCAAAAGGATTCTTTCAGGTATACAGAAGTAAGATCAGGGACAAGATAGGCCCACTCAAAAGTTCCTCGGGTCAGCTCACTGACAGTGATAAGGAAATGTGTAGAAGTTTTAACACATACTTCCTCTCAGTTTTTACACAGGAGGATACAAGCGATATTCCAGAAATGATAAATTATGTGGAACAGGACGATAATAAGCTGAGCACCATTAGGGTCACGAGTGACATGGTCCTTAGGCAAATAGATAAATTAAAACCTAACAAATCCCCAGGCCCTGATGAACTGTATGCAAAAGTTCTAAAGGAATGTAAAGAGGAGCTTAGCAAACCTTTGGGTAATCTTTTCAACATATCACTACAAACTGGCATGGTGCCAGATAAGTGGAAAATGGCAAATGTGATACCTATTTTCAAAGCAGGTGACAGGTCCTTAGCTTCGGACTATAGACCAATAAGCCTAACCTCCATAGTGGGAAAATTTATGGAGTCAATAATTGCCGAGGCAGTTCGTAGCCACCTTGAAAAGCATAAATTAATCAACGAATCTCAGCATGGTTTTACAAAGAGGCGTTCCTGCCTTACGAATTTATTAACTTTTTTCACTAAGGTATTTGAGGAGGTAGATCATGGTAATGAATATGATATTGTGTATATGGACTTCAGTAAGGCTTTTGACAGGGTCCTACATCAGAGACTATTGAGGAAAATTAAGGCACATGGAATAGGAGGAGAAATTTTTTTCTGGATAGAGGCATGGTTGACAAATAGGCAGCAGAGAGTTTGCATAAATGGGGAGAAATCAGAGTGGGGAAGCGTCACGAGCGGTGTTCCACAGGGGTCAGTGTTGGGCCCCCTGCTGTTCACAATATACATAAACGACAGATGAGGGCATAAAGAGCGACATCAGCAAGTTTCCGATGACACCAAAATAGGCCGTCAAATTCATTCTGAAGAGGACATTAGAGCACTCCAGGAAGATTTGAGTAGACTGATGCAGTGGTCGGAGAGGTGGCAGATGCAGTTTAATAAAGACAAATGCAAAGTTCTAAATGTTGGACAGGACAATAACCATGCCACATATAAACTAAATAATGTAGATCTTAATATTACGGATTGCGAAAAAGATTTAGGAGTTCTGGTTAGCAGTAATCTGAAACCAAGACAACAGTGCATAAGTGTTCGCAATAAAGCTAATAGAATCCTTGGCTTCATATCAAGAAGCATAAATAATAGGAGTCCTCAGGTTGTTCCTCAACTCTATACATCCTTGGTTAGGCCTCATTTAGATTATGCTGCACAGTTTTGGTCACCGTATTACAGAATGGATATAAATGCTCTGGAAAATGTACAAAGGAGGATGACAAAGTTGATCCCATGTATGAGAAACCTTCCCTATGAGGATAGACTAAGGGCCCTGAATCTGCACTCTCTAGAAAGACATAGAATTAGGGGGGATATGATTGAGGTGTATAAATGGAAGACAGGAATAAATAAAGGGGATGTAAATAGTGTGCTGAAAATATCTAGCCTAGACAGGACTCGCAGCAATGGTTTTAAGTTAGAAAAATTCAGATTCAGGAAGGATATAGGAAAGTACTGGTTTGGTAATAGAGTTGTGGATGAGCGGAACAAACTCCCGTACAGTCATAGAGGCCAGAACGTTGTGTAGCTTTAAAAATAGGTTGGATAAATACATGAGTGGGTGTGGGTGGGTGTGAGTTGGACCTGATAGCTTGTGCTACCAGGACGGTTGCCGTGTTCCTCCCTTAAGTCAAGGTGACCTGACCTGACTAGGTTGGGTGCATTGGCTTAAGCCGGTAGGAGACTTGGACCTGCCTCGCGTGGGCCAGTAGGCCTGCTGCAGTGGGCAATGTGTGGTGTAAATATTATGCAGAAAATTCGGAGTGTGGAAATTAGGAGAAGGTGTGGAGTTAATAAAAGCATTAGTCAGAGGGCAGAAGAGGCGTTGTTGAGGTGGTTTGGTCATTTAGAGAGAATGGATCAAAGTAGAATGACATGGAAAGCATATAAATCTATAGGGGAAGGAAAGAGGGGTAGGGGTCGTCCTCGAAAGGGTTGGAAAGAGGGGGTAAAGGAGGTTTTGTGGGCGAGGGGCTTGGACTTCCAGCAAGCGTGCATGAGCGTGTTAGATAGGAGTGAATGGAGACGAATGATACTTGGGACCTGACGATCTGTTGGAGTGTGAGCAGGGTAATATTTAGTGAAGGGATTCAGGGAAACTGGTTATTTTCATATAGTCGGACTTGAGTCCTGGAAATGGGAAGTACAATGCCTGCACTTTAAAGGAGGGGTTTGGGATATTGGCAGTTTGGAGGGATATGTTGTGTATCTTTATACGTATATGCTTCTAAGCTGTTGTATTCTGAGCACCTCTGCAAAAGCAGTGATAATGTGTGTGTGTGGTGAAAGTGTTGAATGATGATGAAAGTATTTTCTTTTTGGGGATTTTCTTTCTTTTTGGGTCACCCTGCCTCTGTGGGAGACGACCGACTTGTTGAAAAAAAAAAAAAAAAAAAAATATACATATACATACATACCATCTTTTAGGAGTGAAGAAGAGCAGAATGTAAGTGCGGTGGAGGTACATGAGGCATTACGTAGAATGAAAGGGGGTAAAGCAGCTGGAACTGATGGGATCATAACAAATGTTAAAAGCAGGGGGGGATATAGTGTTGGAGTGGTTGGTACTTTTGTTTAATAAATGTATGAAAGAGGGGAAGGTACCTTGGGATTGGCGGAGAGCATGTATAGTCCCTTTATATAAAGGGAAAGAGGACAAAAGAGACTGTAAAAATTATAGAGGAATAAGGTTACTGAGTATACCAGGAAAAGTGTACGGTAGGGTTATAACTGAAAGAATTAGAGGTAAGACAGAATGTAGGATTGTGGATAAGCAAGGAGGTTTCAGAGTGGGTAGGGGATGTGTAGATCAAGTGTTTACATTGAAGCATATATGTGAACAGTATTTAGATAAAGGTAGGGAAGTTTTTATTGCATTTATGGATTTAGAAAAGGCATATGATAGAGTGGATAGAGGAGCAATGTGGCAGATGTTGCAAGTATATGGAATAGGTGGTAAGTTACTAAATGCTGTAAAGAGCTTTTATGAGGATAGTGAGGCTCAGGTTAGGGTATGTAGAAGAGAGGGAGAATACTTCCCGGTAAAAGTAGGTCTTAGACAGGGATGTGTAATGTCACCATGGTTGTTTAATACATTTATAGATGGGGTTGTAAAAGAAGTAAATGCTAGGGTGTTCGGGAGAGGGGTGGGATTAAATTATGGGGAATCAAATTCAAAATGGGAATTGACACAGTTACTTTTTGCTGATGATACTGTGCTTATGGGAGATTCTAAAGAAAAATTGCAAAGGTTAGTGGATGAGTTTGAGAATGTGTGTAAAGGTAGAAAGTTGAAAGTGAACATAGAAAAGAGTAAGGTGATGAGGGTATCAAATGATTTAGATAAAGAAAAATTGGATATCAAATTGGGGAGGAGGAGTATGGAAGAAGTGAATGTTTTCAGATACTTGGGAGTTGAAGTGTCGGCGGATGGATTTATGAAGGATGAGATTAATCATAGAATTGATGAAGGAAAAAAGGTGAGTGGTGCGTTGAGGTATATGTGGAGTCAAAAAACGTTATCTACGGAGGCAAAGAAGGGAATGTATGAAAGTATAGTATTACCAACACTCTTATATGGATGTGAAGCTTGGGTGGTAAATGCAGCAGCGAGGAGACGGTTTGAGGCAGTGGAGATGTCCTGTCTAAGGGCAATGTGTGGTGTAAATATTATACAGAAAATTCGGAGTGTGGAAATTAGGAGAAGGTGTGGAGTTAATAAAAGCATTAGTCAGAGGGCAGAAGAGGGGTTGTTGAGGTGGTTTGGTTATTTAGAGAGAATGGATCAAAGTAGAATGACATGGAAAGCATATAAATCTATAGGGGAAGGAAAGAGGGGTAGGGGTCGTCCTCAAAAGGGTTGGAAAGAGGGGGTAAAGGAGGTTTTGTGGGCGAGGGGCTTGGACTTCCAGCAGGCGTGCGTGAGTGTGTTCGATAGGAGTGAATGGAGACGAATGGTATTTGGGACCTGACGATCTGTTGGAGTGTGAGCAGGGTAATATTTAGTGAAGGGATTCAGGGAAACCTGTTATTTTTATACAGCCGGACTTGAGTCCTGGAAATGGGAAGTACAATGCCCGCACTCTAAAGGAGGGGTTTTGGGATATTAGCAGTTTGGAGGGATATGTTGTGTATCTTTATATGTATATGCTTCTAAACTGTTGTGTTCTGAGCACCTCTGCAAAAAACAGTGATTATGTGTGAGTGAGGTGAAAGTGTTGAATGATGATGAAAGTATTTTCTTTTTGGGGATTTTCTTTCTTTTTGGGTCACCCTGCCTCAGTGGAAGACGGCCGACTTGTTGAAAAAAAAAAAAATCCTTATATAAGCAGATCTCATCTTCACAGGCACACTGTGTACTAAACCAACCTAGATAATTTCCAATACGCACAACAGATTACTACTCATTCTTTTACTTACAATCCATCGAACTCGAAGCTGAGTGGAGGACATAGCTCTCACAGTCATATTTGATGGTGGGTGAGCTGGCTCTGCTTGAAGGGTTTGGAAATCAGGAGAAGACTCAGAGGGAGATGAGGCACCAACTACGTTATTTGCAATAAGTCGTAAGTGGTATTTCGTATACGGGATGAGATTTTGCACTGTAATTGTAGTGGCATCTGGAGCAGAAACTTCATATATTGTTTCCCAAGTGCTACTGCGAGAAGATTGTGCCTGGAATTGAACATGTTATCATAACAAAACATATATTATTAATGAATGTTTCAGATAAAAGTGACCTTAAAACATGAGTAAAATAACACTACTGGTAATTTTTCATAAAAAATTGCAGTAAATGAACCAATTTAGCCTGCTCTTAATACACTAGTTAAAGCACATTTTGCTTGCCAGAAGCAACTTACTTGTACAGTCCATTTGGAAATAGAGGCATTGCCATCAAAGCCAGGAGTAAATTGAAGCATTACTGAGAAAGCCTGAATATTGGAGACAGCCAGACGGGTTGGTGGCTCTGGCAATACTGGTTCAACACCGGATTGTAATGTTGCAGCCACTGTCATACCTGGTCCTACAGAGGTCCATGCATACACTTCAAATGTGTAAAAAGTTGTAGCCTGTTCATAAAAAAATACAGCAAAAAAAATACATTACAGCATAGAACTACATTTTAATGAAAAGATAAATTTCTATAAAGATTCTACAAATCACTACAGGAATAAGTTTCATTAACCTATAATTTACAGCACCAGTGTTAAGGAGAGTTATGCACAAGAAGTATTATGAGTATGAACAAGACTGCTACAAAGAGCATTAAACTGGCAAAATGGAAGTTTAAAATCCACAGAATGCAACGGTTTCTAAAGCAAGTGGTGGTGGCAAGAAGAAATGTGTGGTTCTCAGTGTTAAGTGGAAATTTCAACTAAAATAAGATAACATAAGAAAGAAGGAACACTGCAACAGGCCTACTGACCAATGCAGAGCAGGTCCATGTCCCCCCCTCCCCAGATTAGCCCAATGACCCACCCAGTCTAGCCACCTCCACTCAAGGAAGGAGCACGGCACCAGACCCAGCAGCACAAGCTAGTCAGGTCTAACTCACGCCCACCCACACCCACTCATGCATTTATCTAGCCTGTTTTTAAAACTACACGTTTTAGCCTCAATACCTGTCCTCGGGAGTTTGTTCCACTCATCCACAACTCTATTACCAAACCAGTGCTTTCCTATATCCTTCCTGAATCTGAATTTTTTCAACTTGAAACCACTGCTGCGAGTCCTGTCTTGGCTGGAAACTTGCAGCACACTATTTACATCCCCTTCATTTATTCCTGTTTTCCATTTATACACCTCGATCGTATTCCCCCTAATTCTACGTCTTTCGAGAGAGTGCAGATTCAGGGCCCTCAGTCTATCCTCATAGGGAAGATTTCTAATACATGGGATCATCTTTGTCATCCTCCTCTGTACGTTTTCCAGAGCATTTATATCCATTCTGTAATACGGTGACCAGAACTGAGCAGCATAGTCTAAGTGAGGCCTAACCAAGGATATATAGAGTTGAAGAACAACCTGAGGACTTCTATTATTTATAGTTCTAGATATGAAGCCAAGGATTCTGTTAGCTTTATTGCGAACACTAATGCACTGTTGTCTTGGTTTTAGATTACTGCTAACCAGAACTCCTAAATCCTTTTCACAATCAGTAGTATTAAGATCTACATTATTTAGTTTATATGTGGCATGGTTATTTACCTGTCCAACATTTAGAACTTTGCATTTGTCAATGTTAAACTGCATCTGCCACTTCTCCAACCATTGCATCAGTCTATTCAAATTCAAATCATCCTGGAGTGCTCTAGTGTCCTCATTAGAATGAATTGGATGGCCTATTTTGGTGTCATCAGCAAATTTGCTTATGTCGCTATTTATTCCCTCATTTATGTCGTTTATGTAAATTGTGAGCAACAACGGGCCCAACACTGACCCCTGAGGAACACCGCTTGTGACGTGCCCCCATTCTGATTTCTCCCCATTTATGCAAACTCTCTGCTGCCTATTTGTGAGCCATGCCTCTACCCAGGAAAAAATTTCTCCTCCTATTCCGTGTGCCTTAAGTTTCCTCAATAGCCTCTGGTGTGGAACTTTATCGAAAGCCTTATTTAAGTCCATATACACAGTATCATATTCATTACCATGATCTACCTCCTCAAACACCTTAGTGAAAAAAGTTAGTAAATTCTTAAGACCATAAAACCATGTTGAGATTCATTAATCAATCTGTGCCTATCAAGATGGCTACGAATTGCTTCGGCAATTATTGATTCCATAAATCTTCCCACTATGGAGGCAAGGCTTATTGGTCTATAGTTCAAAGCCAAGGACCTGTCACCTGCCTTGTAAATAGGTATTACATTTGCCATTTTCCAATTATCAGGCACTATGCCAGTTTGTAGTGATATGTTAAAAAGATTAGCCAAAGGTATGCTAAGTTCCTCTTTACATTCCTTTAACACCCTTGCAAACAGTTCATCAGGGCCTGGGGATTTGTTAGGTTTTAGTTTCTCTATTTGTCTTAGGACCATGTCACTAGTTACCGCAATCATGCGTAGTTTATCATCATCCTGTTCTACATAATCTATTATTTCAGGAATACCGCTAGTATTTTCCTGGGTGAAAACTAAGAGGAAGTAGGTATTGAGAATTCCACACATATCCTTATTACTGTCAGTGATCTGACCAGAGTTACTCTTAAGTGGGCCAATCTTGTCCCAAATCTTACTTCTCTATACCTGAAAGAACCCTTTTGGGTTAGTCTTTGAATTCATTGCGGCCTTAGCCTCATAATCCCTTTTTGCTTTTCTTATCAGTTTCTTTATTTCTCTCTTTAATTGAATACATGTATATTGATTTCTTAACTGCCCATCCCCTGGTTGAGTCTGGCATCTCTGTCACATGGTTATGTATGGAATATGGTGTTAAGAAAGTGTCTGATATTTACATCTCAGCCATCTATACTTCCACTAGTAGAGCTTTACAGTTATTCTGAGTCACCAATATTAATCACGACAGTTTATATCTATCTCTCCGTATAAGTAAAATTGCTGTAAATTATGTACTACAGAAATTACTGTACAGCACTGGACTATAGTACTACAGGTTACAACACCTGTATTCTTAGTGTCTGGTAGTCTTCTGAACCAGTGGCTTTAGTCTGCTAATTCAGAACTTTATCCATTTGTGTTATGATCATGAAAAATTAATTTTATAATTCAGAATCTATGGACAAATGGCAATAATGTGCATCCCCTGCCCCTATCAGTCCATTAATTAGTGTGTTCACTGTATACATTAAAATTTAAAAAAAAAAAAAAAACTTAAATTACCGATAATTCAGTGACCATGAAGGTGGTAACATCAGCAGTCAAATTTTGAATAATTTTGGTATGAGGCGAGTCCTTCACCATGTATGAGAGCGTGTAGCCTTTAAGGATTCCGTTGCTCTGCTTGGGTTCATCCCACAGCACACGCACTGATCGATCACTAATGTCTTCAAATTTCAAGTTTTCCACTGAATCAGGAACTGGAAAAAAATAATAATTTTATTTTTTTTTCTCTTACTGGCAATATAAAATAGGAATAATATAGTTTAAATAACATAATAAGATTTCATAAAATGCTTCCATTCACTAAAAAAAAAGGTTCATCAGTGAGAATCCCTTTTGCAGCTATAAACGAATATAGTAAATTACAGCCATTTTAAATATACAATAACCTGTACAGCACCTAGTATGTACGAAATAACTGACAGGGCTACCATTAAGTGTTGTGTAATGCATGATAATGATCTGTATGCAAATTGTCAAGGAAATGCTGTTATTTTTTTTTATTAGCACACTGGCCAATTCCCACCAAGGCAGGGTAGCCCGAAAAAGAAAAACTTTCACCATCATTCACTCCATCACTGTCTTGCCAGAAGGGTGCTTTACACTACAGTTTTTAAACTGCAACATTAACACCCCTCCTTCAGAGTGCAGGCACTGTACTTCCCATCTCCAGGACTCAAGCCCGGCCTGCCAGTTTCCCTGAATCCCTTCATAAATGTTACTTTGCTCACACTCCAACAGCACGTCAAGTATTAGAAACCATTTGTCTCCATTCACTCCTATCAAACACGCTCACGCATGCCCGCTGGAAGTCCAAGCCCCTCGCACATAAAACCTCCTTTACCCCCTCCCTCCAACCTTTCCTAGGCCGACCCCTACCCTGCCTTCCTTCCACTACAGACTGATACACTCTTGAAGTCATTCTGTTTCGCTCCATTCTCTCTACATGTCCGAACCACCTCAACAACCCTTTCTCAGCCCTCTGGACAACAATTTTGGCAATCTCGCACTTCCTCCTAACTTCCAAACTACGAATTCTCTGCATTATATTCACACCACACATTGCTCTCAGACATGACATCTCCACTGCCTCCAGCTTTCTCCTGGCTGCAACATTCATCACCCATGCTTCACACCCATATAAGAGCATTGGTAAAACTATACTCTCACACATTCCCCTCTTTGCCTCCAAGGACAAAGTTCTTTGCCTCCACAGACTCCTAAGTGCACCACTCACCCTTTTCCCCTCATCAATTCTATGATTCACCTCATCTTTCATAGACCCATCTGCTGACACGTCCACTCCCAAATATCTGAATACATTCACCTCCTCCATACTCTCTCCCTCCAATCTGATATCCAATCTTTCATAACCTAATCTTTTTGTTATCCTCATAACCTTACTCTTTCCTGTATTCACTTTTAATTTTCTTCTTTTACATACCCTACCAAATTCATCTACCAACCTCTGCAACTTCTCTTCAGAATCTCCCAAGAGCACAGTGTCATCAGCAAAGAGCAACTGTGACAACTCCCACTTTATGTGTGATTCTTCAACTTTTAACTCCACGCCTCTTGCCAAGACCCTCGCATTTACTTCTCTTACAACCCCATCTATAAATATATTAAACAACCACGGTGACATCACACATCCTTGTCTAAGGCCTACTTTTACTGGGAAATAATCTCCCTCTTTCCAACATACTCTAACTTGAGCCTCACTATCCTCGTAAAAACTCTTCACTGCTTTCAGTAACCTACCTCCTATACCATACACCTGCAACATCTGCCACACTGCCCCCCTATCCACCCTGTCATACTGAGAAATGCTGTACCATTTATAATTTTAATACTTTTATTTTTAACACATCAGCCATTTCCCACTGAGACAGGGTGACCTGATGAAGAAGAAACTCTTTTATTACCATTCACACTGTCGCTGTCTTGCCAGAAGCATGCCGATACTGCAGTTCAAAAGCTGCAACATATCTCCACCCCTCTGTCAGGACTTGAGTCTGGCTAACCTGTTTCCTTGAATCTCTTCATGTTATTTTGCTCACACTCCAACAGCACATCAAGTCATAAAAACCATTTGCTTCTACTCACTCCTATCTAACATGCTCGCTGGAAGCCCAAACCCCTTGCACACAAAACCACAACTCCAAAAATGATACAATTTACAAAGAAAAATTTACATCTTTCAAGAGCCAATATAATTTGTTGGTTATAAAACATGCGAGACAGAGTACAGTATCAACTTTTAACGTACCATCCTCTAGTGTTTGAATCTTCAATGGTTGCGATGGTGTGCCATCACCAGGATGTGTGAAACACAGTACTGTAATATAGTACACTGTATATTTGTTAAGGTCACTGAGTTCTGCTGACTCATTAGCATCAGGATATGGACTTGGAGGAACAGTCAGAGTTTTATCTGGTTCAACAGAGCCTTCAGGTATATCTGTAAAAAAGGCAAAAATAAAAAATTTAACAATGAGTTTATCCTACTTTTTTTTTTTTTTTTTTTTTTTGCAAAATTTAAATGAATCTCCAAATGCAACCAACAATGCTTGGGGTTGTTAATAATAAAGAACAAAATAATATTTTATGAAATAAACTAATATATTTTAAAAGTGAAAATTAATTTAATAATGAAATTTATCAGGCTATAAATTATATAATTTCTTTAGCTAAAATTTTCATATAAAGGTCTTGAAAGAAAATATTTTGGCACAAGGGTACAAATAGTTAGCAACTTTCCTTCACATGAAAGTTAACCCCAAAAATAAAATTCACGCAGCCCCAGTCTTTCCCCTTTCTGAAGGATAACTTGTAGGACCAATACTATTTCTGATAGATGTAAGCAGTTTAAGAACTGACCAGAATACAAAACAGAGCAAAAGTACGAAACTTAAACAAAAAGAAAAAAAAAAATACTGCAGGAATGGTCAAACAAGTGAATGTTAATGAAGATGGGGGATTAGGAAGGACAACTGCTGACAATATATACTGTATCCCAAAAGCCAACATCTTCAGGGGCATGAGCACTGAAAAGTTTCATCCCTTACAAGGGATGAAACTAAAGGGTAATAAATGGAAGATGAATACCCAGAAGAACCCAAGATACTAAAAAGTAACTATGCCAGTTAGCTGAAGATTAAAGATGAAGGAGCTGGAGAAGAGTACATCTCAGCAAGAAGAAACTTTCTAACCCATGATAGTGTATAGGTGAGTGGAAAGTGAAGATGGCTGAAGAAAAAATGCACACAATATCCAAATTTTAGTGTTAGTAATAAAAGTGCATTTTTTTCAACACGTCGGCCATTTCCCACCGAGGCAGGGTGACCCAAAAAGAAAGAAAAAAAACTTTCATCATCATCCAACACTTCCATCATCACTCATACATAATCACTATCTTTGCATGTAGCTGAAAAATTTAACAGCTAGACAAACTTATATCACAGTGCATTAAAACAATTTTAGTCCACTGGACTATCCAAGTACCCATGAGAAATATCCTTTCAATATGGTTTTCCTAAGATCAATATCATGACCAGATATTTCCTAACAGGATTCTAAAAGTGAGGACAAAAATAACAGTGGCCTACCATTTATGAAAGGCCTCATAACTTACTTTGCCATGCTTGAACTTTATAGCCCTGATTGATTCCATTAATCATCCAGGGATCTGGTGGCTTCCATGAAACTTTGATGGTGGTTGAGCTAATAGCTATGGCTTTAACATTTTTTGGTGGAGCAGCAGGAATTCCTTCTTTTGTTTTAAGGCGTATACTACGAGAGTAAACACCAACACCTTTGATGTTATATGCAGCAACCTGGATCTCATAGTCTTTCCAAATTATCAACCCTCCAATTAGATAATTGTGTTGATTCTGAAAATGAAAAAAAAAGAAAGATGCATGTAATCATTCTAGATCAAAATTTAAAATAAATGTGTCCTATATAAATAATATACATACTATGCTAAGTATTCTGTGAAAATATCAAAATATATTTAACATCAATTTCATTTTCACGAAGGTTGTGTCTATAGCGTACATTCTTTTTTTCTTTCTTTTTATCTATTTAGCTAACTTTCTACTAATTCTCTTTTTTTTTTTTTTAGCCTTTAACATCTACAAATACTCATCTAATAAAATTAAATCATGTCACTATCTTGTGACTTAAAATCGTACCTTGTACTTGTGGCCAACAACGAAGCGTTGAACAGTCTTTAATCTCTAGTTCAGAAATGAAGATAAAAAGTGAAAGAATAAAAACAAAAATGGGATTTAATAATCAGTGCAAAGATGAAAATAAATTATGCATTCAAAATAACCAAAATAAGTATCAAAACTAACTAAAACAAACAATTTAATTAAGATTAAGAAAAGCTACATAGTCAGAGCTTGAAGTCCTTAACAAAGAATTTTATGACAAAGTAACAGAAGTGAGAAGAAAGAGGGTTGAGAGGATTGAATTTTCTTATACTGCAAGGCATCTGATACTGTATCCCATATGAGACTGGGGTAAAAAAAAACTTGAGAAGCATGCAGGAATAACAGGGAATGTACTCCTGTTGACTAAAAATTACCTTAAGGGAAGGAAGTAAAGAGTGATTGTCTGGGATGAGATGTCAGACTGAGGAAGAGTAACATGCAGGGCACCACAAGGATCAATATTAGGGCCAGTACTGTTTCTGGTTTAAGTGAATGACATCCCAAATGGGAATGATGTAAAACTAATGAGGATACAAACAAATGAGGATGGGGGAGAGGCTAAGTGGATCTGGAGAAACTTCAGGTTTCATCAGGTAGGTGGTTGCTTGAATTCAACCCCCAGGAAATGCAAGATTACAAATATTGGAGAAGGCACCAAGAAACTAAACATGGAGTACAGACTCGGGAGGGGTGGGAGGTGATGGGCAGAAGCTGCAGACCTCATTCAAGAGAAGAACCTGTGACTAAGCATAGTGTCTAGAATATTGCCAGAGACACTCATCACACCATTTTCAAGGAAAATAATGGCTGGATATGAAAACCTCATGCTGAAGCTTGTCTGAGCTCTTTTGTATGGAAAAATAATAACTGTCAGGAACCAACCCAGTTAAGCATGATGTGGTGACAGGGTTAAGCTGCTATTTACTCACATTTGTCAAAATCATATTACGATACAATCGCAGCGTTAAAACAGCAATAAATTTTATATACGGAAACTAATTTCAAGTAACAAGAAAATTACAAACCTCTTTGGTTATGTTGCGATAGTACCACTGCGCATCCTTGTATCCCCATAGTCTATAGCGTACCATATATCCAAGAAGTATCCCATTCCTTTCATCTTCTGTGGGAGCCTCCCACTGAATCATAATTTCTGTCGAGGACCTGGGAGAACCCACCAGACCTTGGGGAGGACCTGATGGAGCTGTGAGTACACAATACATTCTGTAAGACTTGGAAAGGTACCTGAGAAGAATGCCTTATTCTTGGCTTACGTTGCTTTAGAAATGTAATAAGAAAAAACAAAAATTCATGAAAGTGTAAGACTTCAAGTAGGCAATAATGAAGTTATTCATACAAGTGTGACAAAATTTTATTTCTGAAAATCCTATTAGCTTTTTCATTAGATTAATGAAACCAGCCTTTAAACAAAGACATTAAAATATTCAAGTCCAAATAGGAACCATAACTAGCCAAAGTAATATTCAATTATATACAAAAGCCTTCACTTCCTCTAATATTCATTTCATGCAATTATCCAGTTTTCACTTAACTGACTACAATGAACCTCATCAAGAAATAAAATAAAAAAGTTCAACCCACATACCTTCCTGTGGAAGGATAACTGTGTTAGATGGTTCGGAGGGAGACCCTTCACCAACATTATTCACTGCTGAGACCCGAAACTGGTAACCTGTGGAAGGTCTCAGCTCTCCTATGACAGCCTCAATAGCTGTAGCACTTATATTTGTTAGCACTGTTACCCAGTTCAGACCCAGATCATCAACTATACCTGACAAAAAAAATATACATTTTAAAAATAATGAAAACAAAATCAACAAACTGCAAGGATGGGATAAAGTAAAATTTATACAAGGTTGTCTTGCTTCATCACATTTGTATTATTGATGCCTTTACTTGAAGTTAACAAATAAATAATTTTCTTTCAAAAAATTCTTATGTATAGTCAACTTTTTCCTTTATGTAGAAATGACAACCATTCACAAATACAGTACTGTACCCTCTGCATACTAACAAAATTTTAAATAAAGATTTCTCAACACTTGAAGGTACAGTAAACCTAATATAACAGACCTCGATATAACAAGCTTTTAAAATTATAGGCAAAATCCACTTGGTAAACTATACTTTTAACATCTTTACTTTCTATGTTTATTGCAAAACATTTGCAAACTGTATGCCCAGTATTATATTAGGTAGACAGTAAAGTAATTCAGTGTTTTTTCCCTTCCATTTTTTTTTAAGATACGCTCGTACAACCTTCCCCTTTCCTTTCATTAGTCTTACATTAAGGGTTTACTGGATCATCAGAAAAAAAGTAAAGAAAAACCAAGCAAGTAAAATAACTGGAAAAAATGCATGTACTGCTTCATGTCCTCAGAAATTCATATATTTCCAGGGCTGATTTAGACAAGATCAGTATTAGATCAATGTCATCTACAGTACACTGAAATTTACAAATATTTCAAAGATTTATTAAAACAATACTTTGATCTTTTAATGTTGGGAAACAGGCTTTTCAGAGCCATAAATAGTGTAGAATAATTCTAATCTGTACAAGGGAAAAATACAGTTGTCCCTCGCTTTATGTGATAAATGCATTCCTGCTCAGTGGCACAAAGAAAATTTGCATACAGCAAACCCATAATAACATGTAAAATATAAGGATTCATTCTCATATTATGCAGATTCTACATTTGACTACTGTTTATCAAAAAAAAAAAAAAAATTTAGTGGAAAAACAACTAAGGAAAAAGATAACCAATCTCTACCAAAATGAAGTATTTTTATACATGCATAAAATGAACATAAACAAATTATTATGAATGCAGTTTTCAACATTCCTCGCAGAAATGATTGCTGCATATAAAAGAAACGGCACAAAGTGAATCTGCATAAAGTGAATCAGCGTGAATCAACCCCACATGAAACAAATCTGCATGAAGTGAATCCACATAAAGCGAGGGGAAAACCTGTACTAAGTATTTTCTAGAATAAACTTTACATTGCCTAATATATCAATACAACACTGTACAATATGCCAAAAACCATACACACCTTCTGTAGGGACCTCTCTCTTCTGGATGATAAATTTAATTATAGGACTATTTCCATCAAATGTTGGAGTCCAGGAAACTTTAACAGATTTAGGGATTCCTGGCGTGCGTTCAGCCTGTACACCAGTCGGAGCATAAGGCAGCTCTATAACCTCCAATCTCGCTGAACGAGTCTCATTTCCACCAGATGATATAACCTAAAATATTCCGTTCAGCGTCAGAATAACTAAATTTAAAAAATATAGATAATATTTCACTTACTTTTAATAAATATGAAAACTACAAAAATACAATTATGCATATTTTATCATAGCACAGAACAGTATAGTTCTAATACATGTGCATTCAAACAGCATATTGTCAATAAAATATGACTGAAATACTGCACCCAAGTTTCATATCCATAATGCACATCAAGTTTCATATCCAGCTCTAGACATGAAATTTAATGTTATTAATCAGGCTGATACAGAAATGAAGGGCTGCAGGCCACCAACAGTAACAACCTGGTTGACCAGGAAAGCACCAGGTGAGTATGTGCTCCAAGAGTAGAAAAAGTCCCAGAACTCATCAAAGGTCCTAACCAACAAAGATACACGTGACTTGGTGGTAGGGTTCAACAGAATAATTAAGCATTCAAAATAATGAGTACCACATGAATTTTCATATGAATACAATGAAAGATCCTTACCACACAAGTATAAAGTCCAACATCTGCTGCTCGAACCTCTTGTATCTCCAATGTTCCATCTTGTCGCACACTAATCCGAGGACTTCCTTCAGGGTCAATGATATTGTTTCCATGAAACCAGTGAATTTCAACTAACACTGTTGGAGCATGGGATACTTTGCACTGTAGTGTTGCCACCCGACCCAATATAACTCGTGTATCAACGGGTGGCTGCGATATCTGAGTTTTGACTGAAAAACAAAGGCCAAATAATATAATCAACATACACAAGAATAAATAACTCTGAACTGGTGTATTAAATGAAAATAAGGCAATATTAAATACTTTTCATTAGGGATAGAATACACAATTTTTTGCCGATACCAATACACAATTTTAGGCCAATACCATCAAAGCTGCCCAATACCCATTGATACCCAGTTTCAGGCCATTACTGATACCATCAAAATTGGACCAATACCCACCAAATCCAATGCTTTAACACACCCCTACTGTTTATCCCTGAAGATTGTCGAGTCATACTTTAAGGAATTGTCATACTAACATGTATACTTAGGTCTGCATACAATCTACCAGTGTAGCTGTACTGTGCATTAAATTTTCTGTTTATTAAATGGCTTTGTATATTATACCTGTGACCAAATTTGAGGGGTTCTCTAACTTCACAGTCTGACCTGGGGAGATGCTTCTCTGTTGACTGTATTTAACAAGGTTGTAGATCATGGAAACCCACTAACCCCATAGCTATCACAGCATGACTGATCTGGCACTTTACAAAAACTGGTGCTTCTACACTTTATTCCATCAATAAATGGACCTCTATACTTATTCCATCAATATTCCTGACATCTGCTGGTAGCAGGTTAAAGAGTCTTGGGACACATATATTGACAATATTCCCTTACTGGGCCAATGGCACCCTTGCTTTTCACTGGGTCTATTTTAAACTTCATTGCATCTCTCTCCCTCCCATATAAAGTATAATACAGAAGTGTGTAAATCTAAGACAAGCTCCTCAAGCATCTTCCACATCTACATATCAAATCAAGTATTTCTTTCTCTCTCTTTTCTTCTCTCTTTTTTCCTCTCTTCTCTTTTTTCTCTTTTTACTTTTCTCTCTCTTTTTCTCTTTCTCTCCCTCTCTCTTTCTCTCGAGTACTTTGACACATTCTCAGCAGTTTAAATGTTTTATTGGTCTTGATATAGACACTAAATGATCTCTACACACTTTCCAGCTCTGGTTTACATGTCTCCTGTTGTAAGTGGAGTCATCAACACTGAACAACATCCTAGATAAAAGAGAATAAATAATTTGAATTGTGTCACTCTTAAGAATTATTTCTCATTTTGAAAGTTCTCATTGTCCAGCCAAATATTTTTCTGGCCTTTATGGCACTTATCTTATTGTGCTCTCAAAGTTATTATGGTGTTTATAAACTAAAAACTGTTTAATTCTGATGTATTGCATGCAAAAAACACCATACAGATCAAGTTTCCTTTCTGGCAGGCAGTATTTAAATATATAAAAATAAACAGTATAGACTTTACAACAAAGGTATATGAATACATGCTAACCACTAACCTAGGATGGAGAGCCAAGCATTTCCTGACACAGTTCCAGCTTCATTTGAACGAAGACAAGTGTATTTTCCTTCATCACGAGTGTTAACACCAGCAATAAGTAGGTCTCCAGAACTTAAGATTTGATAGTGACCATTCTCCACCAGTTCCAGATCATCTACAAAAGTATCACAACTGTTAGAAAAGCAACACTGAAGAGCAATATCAACTTCATATTAAAGTTTCATATTCTTTTTAACAGCCATTTCCCACCGAGGCAGGGTGACTCAAAAAGACAGAAAACCCCAAAAAGAAAAAAAACTTTCATCATTCAACACTTTCACCATCACTCATACATAATCACTGTCTTTGTAGAGGCACTCAGATACAACAGTTTAGATGTCCCTTCAAACTGCCAATATCCCAAACCCCTCCTTTAAAGTGCAGGCATTGTACTTAACATTTTCAAGACTCAAGTCCGGCTAACTGGTTTCCCTGAATCCCTTCACAAAATATTACCCTGCTCACACTCCAACAGCTTATCAGGCCCCAAAACCCATTCATCTCCATTCACTCCTAACATGCTCACACACGCTTGCTAGAAGTCCAAGCCCCTTGCCCACAAAACTTCCTTTACCCCCTCCCTCCAACCTTTTTGAGGACAACCTCTATACATATATAAAATGCAAATGACTGGACTTTAGATCATGGATTAAAATTCCATATTTTAAACTTATTTAGTATACTAAGATTATTTTCTACTGTACCATTATATAACCAGGTAACATTAGGCTGAGGAGCTCCGCCTGCACGACAAGAGATGGTGGCGTCCTGGCCATCCAATACAGTCATGTTCTCCGGTGATATCAACATGAGGGGAGCAGATGCTGCAACATACATTTACATATACAGTGCATCATCCTGACCAATAAATTTTTATATGGAAAGCAGTTCTAGTGAACCTCTCACTTTACAAAATGATTTATCATAATTATACTGTATATAATTTAAACAATTTTACACTGGATATATTTTACTTAACTATTATTGTACCAAGATCTACTGTTAATAATATAACCTGATGCAGAAAAATGATACATTACATTTTCACCAATAATCTTCAAATATAATCAGCTATATAATAAATAGAATATTTGTGTATTAATATAAGGAGAATGTATTTTAATTTAGATCTACAGTGTTTACAAGTGCAGAAATGTAGCAATTTTAAGGGTAATATGATACTGACATCAGCACACTTCTGGAGAGACAGTGACTGAGTGAAGGTTGGCAAATGTAATATGTATTTTGAGTCAACCTGCCTTAACATAAGGCACTGGTGTCAAAAAAATGCTTGTAATCATAATACAGCAGAACCTCTTACATCTAAAAAATGGCTCCACACAAGGCTGTTTTAGATAAGGGACTCTTCTAGATACAATAATGGCTCTTGTCATGGTAGAGGAATCACTCGTAATATGTCATTAAATTCAGAATTCGAAGACCCACTTAACATATCCTTAATACAATCATTTTCAACATAAACCTTATGAAGAATTTTGTCTCTGCCTTCAAATCATATTACTTCATAATTTGTAGGCATTAGATCAAAAAAAATATACAGTATTTTAAAAATCCTACTTTATTCTTTCTCATTCTTGTTAAAAAAGTTTCTCATTAAATTACCTGGACTTTTTATTTTCTAATATTTAACATATTTAGAAACTTTATATAAATAAAAAATATAACAGTTCTGACTATTGCCAACAGGGACAACACTTATAAATACATATGTATTCCAAAGCAACATTCTTATAATGTGCAGACTTCTTTCGACAAATCAGCCATATCCCACTGAAGCAGGGTGGGCCAAAAGAAAAAACAAAAATTTCTTTTTAACTTTAGTAATGTATACAGGAGAAGGGGTTACTAGCCCCTTGCTCCCGGCATTTAAGTCGCCTCTTACGTCACGTATGGCTTATGGAGGAAGAATTCTGTTCCACTTCCCCAGACTATGTTTTTATATTCTATATGTATTAACCCTTTGAGGGTCCATCCCATAGATCCACGGCTTTGAAGCCAGGGTCCAAGCCGTAGATCTACGTCATGAGCTCAGCTCACTAAGATAAACTGTGAGTGGTAAATTTGGACCTAGATATGAGAGGATACATCTATGTGGTAAGTGTGCACCACATAAAATAAATCCTGCAGCATGCAGTACATAATGAGAGAAAAATTCTCCAACCATAATTTTGGATTAAAACAGCGATTTTGCTTTTTCATGTGTTTTTTACAGTTGTATTTGCGATTTGTTGGTCTCACTTGATAAAATGGAAGATATATTACAGAAATAGAGATGATTTTGATTAGCTTTAGTACTGAAAATGGCTTGAAACAGAGCTCAAAATAGCAAAAATGTTCAATTTTTGCGGAGGTTCAAGAGTAAACAAATGACGTCAGGCGTCTAATATGCGTGAGTTTAATATACATTCACGAATATGCTGATGTTATTTATACAATTATTACAACATTGCATGACAGTAAATCTTCCATTTTTTGGTGTGAATTAAAATGCATTATGTGAATAAAAAATAAAAATGGAATTAATTTGTAAAGCTTGAAAATGTAACTAATAAACAGAGGAAATGTTAATTTAGTGCCAGGAATGCCTGCATTGTTTATTCTGGACCATATTTCGAAATTGCAATATTTTGAACTTTGTGTTAAATTGGTCAAATTGCCAAATTCTGATCGCTTTACTGGATAATTGAAATAGCTGAGAGATTTCTTGTGCTCAGTCGATAAAATAGAAGTAATACTAGTGAAATAGCTAAGAAATTGGTTGACTGGAATAATATAATTGGCCTAAAATGGGAGTCAAAGTCGGCAAAATCGCTGATGCGTAAATATCGCTGACGCATCAAAAATTCGCAAGAGCATAATTTCGTCAATTTTCCCTCAAATTTTACATTTTATTTTATTACTTTCGGAAAAAGATTCTCTACCATTTTGTAAGAAAAAATTAAATTTTTTTTTGAAAATTCTTGAATCCTGGCTGTCACTCTGAGATTTGGCCTATGGACCCTCAAAGGGTTAACTTCATGAAGTAAATTTTTATGCGAGAGATTATAGTATGTTCAAGAAAACTGCCTAGAAGCTAACATACAGTATATGATATGCCTTTAATATATACATTACTGGCTGTGTTGAGATTTCTGAGGATTCAAGGCTTTTGTAATAATAATAAAACATTCGTTATAGTAACAGAATACAATACAGAAATATTTTTATTCATGAAGATGTGAAAATCAAAAACTTTTCCCATGATAACAAGTGCTTTTGATTTTACACTAACATGTTTCTTTGTTCCTAGGCAGTAGGTTGGTAAACAGTAACCGCCCAGGGAGGTACTACCATCCTGCCAAGCGAGTGTAAAATGGAAGCCTGTAATTGTTTTACACGATGGTAGGATTACTGGTGTCTTTTTCTTTCTGTCTCATACACGTGCAAGATTTCAGGTATGTCTTGCTACTTCTACTTACACTTGGGTCACACTACACATACATGTACAGGCATATATATACACACCCCTCTGGGTTTTCTTCTATTTTCTTTCTAGTTCTTGTTCTTGTTTATTTCTTCTTACCTCCATGGGTAAGTGGAACAGAATTTTTCCTCAGTAAGCCATGTGTGTTGTAAGAGGCAACTAAAATGCCAGGATCAAGGGGCTAGTAACCCCTTCTCCTGTACATATTACTAAATGTAGAAGGAGAAACTTTCGTTTTTCCTTTTGGGCCACCCCGCCTCGGTGGGATATGGCCGGTGTGTTGAAAGAAAGAATGTTTCTTTGTTCCCAGGTAGTAGGTTGACAGACAGCAACTGCCCAGGGAGGTACTACCATCCTTCCAAGTGAGTGTAAAACAGAAGCCTGTAATTGCTTTACATGATGGGTGAATTGCTGGTGTCTTTTTCCAGTCTCATAAATATGCAAGATTTCAGGTGCGTCTTGCTACTTCTACTTACACTTAGGTCACACTACACGTGCATGTACAAGCACATGTTCTTGTTTATTTCCTCTAATCTCCCTGGGGAAGTGGAATTGAATTCTGCCTCTGTAAGCCATGCGTGTCATAAGAGGCAATTACAATCTCACCAGCAAGGGGCTAGTAACTACTCCTCCTGTATACATTACTAAAGTTAAAAAGAGAAATTTTTGTTTTTCTTTTTGAGCCACCTTGCCTTGGTGGGATACAGCTAGTTTGTTGAAAGAAAGATGATGTTTCATTGTTACAAAACAGACAGGATTCGATCCTATGCCTAGTCAGTGGTTGGAGTACTTGCCTGTTAGTTTAAGAATTGGCTTGCTATAGGTTGAGTCCTGCTCATTCCACAAGTTGTTACAGTAAAAATTTTTTATGATGATTTCAAAAGTTATTAATTGTAAGTGATTAAAGAGAAGAAACATCTACCACAAATTGTGTGTGCACATTTTTTTTTGTGGTGGTGGGGGGGGGGGGGTTAATGCTTTTAACTTTGCATCATCCTAGCCCCAAAATGTTCACTAAGTTGACACACGAGACATTTAGGGAGTTGCCATGTCACCCTTCATCACTATCTCTTAGGTCTTGGATTTGTGAAATTTTACTTAATATGCATTTCTAAGTAATGGAGTAAATACTATCACCACTTGTATTACTTTCTGAACTAAAGGAATAACATGGTGTCAACTGAGGAGCTTGGTGAGCCTTTCCATTAATTGGGCATTTCTGGTAAACAGAATTTAAAAGGTTCAACTGTATTCAAAACCTTATGAAATGGTAAATTGTAGACAATGTTAAACATCAATTAAGCATTCAAATCAAAAAACTTGTTGCAGTTAGTAATTTGTACAGTACTATAGGACAGAAAGCTTCACAACATCCACTCAAAAAAAAGCTATTAACAGCACAAGGAACACAATGCAGAGTATCTTCTTGAATAAAATATTATAAGGTACAATACTAAAACCATAAAAGAACAATCAGAAGTTGATATACTGTATTAACATTCATTCAGTGTAAAACCACACGATCTCAGAAAGAAAATTATAATTAAGAACAATATGCTTCATGTAAAAGAAACAGGCATATTAACAAAGATCAGAAGCATGTAAACATTGAGCAGACTGCTTAGACAACCACTTCTCTTTGCTGTTAAATCATAAAATTTATTCTAACAAATACACTTCATTTCTGCTTACACTCGGATTTAATCTAGTGATGCTATTTACTAATGGCAATACATTATTTCTGTCTTTAAAATTAATAAGAAAAACTGGTTGTAACAGTAATGCTGATACACATGAATTTCTTGTTTCTACAAACATTATTACAGTATAGTAAACTGTTTAAACAGTTGTAATAATATGTCATAAATAAAGAAAATTAACACTAAAATTAGAAGAGCCAGTATAATACTCAAAATATCATGTGTTTATGTATTACACTGTTGGTGGTTCTTGAAGGATTGCATATCCTCCAATTTTCCCAGCAATTTAAGGCAATGTTTCCTTACCATTTTTAAAATCAGATTTGCTATTTTGAAATGCTTTGGCTGCCTTTAATTTTTATTTTAGCACACCAGCCCTTTCCCACCAAAGTAGGGTGACCTATAAAAAGAGGAAATGCATTCACCTTCAAATATCATCAGTTAATTTTAGTATTACCATATGTTTTTTTTTCCCTTCCAAATTTATATGCATTAATGAGGGCAGTACTAATATTAACAGTTTTCTAAACAAGACAGTAATCACCTACTTGTAGCTATAGGATCGGAGTTATGCTCATTGTATTCCATTCTTTAATAATTTTGTATGCATGTTGACAAGAGCTATGATATGAACATCACATTCCATAAAAGCAACAATATTAATGCTCCCTCAATGTCCACAACAATGAACTCCAAGCAGCTCATGAATGCTGAATTCATTGATACTGAATATATATTTCAATGGGAAAAAGAGGGCAGTGCAATCAGGACCCTGTGGCACGATTTTGGGTCATCTAACTATGTTGCTATACAAAAGTTGCAGATATCCAAATCCAGGCACAGATAACAGGCAATAGGACATACAACACAACTCGCAAATCTATGAATTAAAGATCTGCAAATATTGAGAAAACCACTACAGTACTGTTATGCTTATTATCAGCACACATTATAAAACACCATTCAGTTATCATTCATAAAAATCCAGAGCAACAATAAATGCATTTTTGTTAATAATAACTGACTTCATACCACAGGCTACAACTACTTAAATGACACATCAAGCAATTAATGAAAAACACATGCACTTGTTAGTACAGATCTTACGATAGTGAGCAAAGGCCCTGGCTTTCAAGGACCTGTGTACACGATTAGGAGGATCATCCCACCACTCTGCCAGAAAACCATGGAAAATGTCAGTCTTCAGAGGAAAACTTAAGAAGATATCAAAGCATGAGGTTAGAACTCCAACTAAGCTTAAGAATGCTTGAAACAATAGATATTTAAGGTACTTAACCTGTTACCGATGACAGTATTGTCTACAAATTTAATCTTTAGTAAATTAATAATCATTATTACTATATTAGCATTACTGCATGTTCATCTCAAAATGATGGCAATAATGCTAGGGATAATAATACCTCCTGCAATATACACATTTTAAATTTACTGTGTGGATATCCAGTATATAATTTCAGAGAGGAGTATTTGTAGAGACACTAAGTTAAGAAATAAACAAAAGTACAGAAAATTAAATAAAAAAAAAAGGGAGAGGATAGTGCAAATGATGAGTACAGATTACAGGACAGATTTATGTGCAAATGTGTATAGCATATGTACTATAATAAAATAAGAACATTTGAAATATGTGCTAAACCTGGAAAATTAACCACTACAAATAGTATACAAAAATAAATAAGCCCAGTATTTTAGGATTACGAAGAAAATTTATGAAAGAGTAACTACTAATTTTCCACTTACAATGGCTTAGGAAAATTTATCTCAAAGAACTAAGCTACATTTTTATTACAGAAAACTGTAACTTATCAAAACATAAAAGCACATTATATAACAATAAGTTATGTACAGCAAATTACTATGAAGAACTGAAATGTTCTACAAATTAATTGCTGCAAGATAAATATAGCATGTACTGAACACAGAAGTTCCAAATTCAATAAAGATTTTTTTTTTATTAGCTCACTGGCCGATTCCCACCAAGGCAGGGTGGCCCGAAAAAGAAAAACTTTCACCATCATTCACTCCATCGCTGTCTTGCCAGAAGGGTGCTTTACCCACCACATAACAATTACTGTGAACAGTACTCTATTTTTATAGTTTACAAGAAGAACCCTTCATGCATAACAATCACTACACAACTGTTAAGTGGATAATGTTGCTCTTCATGTTTCCTTACCAATGCCACTTCAACAAAATATATTTAGTGTAATCACCTTATGAAAAGCAAATTAACATTAGAGAACTGTAATTTAAGTTTCATTTATTTATTAAAAAACCTGATAGCCTTAATGCCATACATTTATTCTTATGTTATTTGCTAACATGCAGTGCTATGCAACATTCAGCATTACCCATTATGCACAATAAATGCTATGAATTAAGCACCTAGATGTTCCACACTTACTTTTAACTTTTAGCCAAGTGTAGGCTGATGTTTCCCCAGCAGAATTAGATGCCAGGCACTGATACATTCCAGTGTCATTGATATGAACTGCAGAAATGGCCAGAGATCCATTGAGAAGAACTCGATACCTATGGAAAAATCAAATGTGAAAAAATATTACAATGAAAACTTCATAAAAAACAATTCCTCTAAGTCTTTCAAGTATATCAGGTTGGTCACCAGAGTCAACTTGAGGTCAGTGCACTTATAGCTTATGACTAATTTCTAATTGTTCAAACTTCACAATTTTTTACAGAATGTATGTTCTCATGTTATGAGAATATGACATATATATCCATCAAACTTTCATCATATTATGATGTAAGCTTGGTGGATTTTGACTGAAAAATAAAAGTTAAAAAAAAAAAATATATGGAAATGTTCCTGCAATAAACCTAAAACATTTCAACTGTAATTCATTCTGAATTAATTTCTAATTTGCCAAGACATCAAAATTCAGATTACCCTCCAACTTCAGCATCCCCACCCCTCCTTCAGAGTGCCAGTACTGCAAATCCCACCTACAGGCCTAAAGTCCAGCTAAACAGTTTCATTGAATCCCTCCATAAGCGCTACCTTGCTCGGTCCAACGGTATGTATATCATAAAATCCACTTTATTCCATTCTTTCCTATCTAACACGTTCGTACAAGTCTGCTGGATGCTCAAGCTCCTAAAACTCAAATCTTCAAACCATGGAAAGGGTGGGGTTTGAACCATAAAACTCCAGGCGAGTACATTAGCCACTGGCTTAGAGTTTTACAATGAAGCTTTTGTTTTTTTTTTATTTATTATCACACCGGCCGATTCCCACCAAGGCAGGGTGGCCCGAAAAAGAAAAACTTTCACCATCATTCACTCCATCACTGTCTTGCCAGAAGGGTGCTTTACACTACAGTTTTTAAACTGCAACATTAACACCCCTCCTTCAGAGTGCAGCTTTTGTACCAGTGTCATTCTAGAATTAACTCAAAAGCTCTAAAGGATATCTTGTGGCTTTTTTTTTTTTTTAAATTCTTAACATTTATAAGAAATGACTCACCTGTTATCATCCAAAGTGATGACATTTACAGCATCTCTATACCAGGTAACATAAGGAATAGGAGCACCTGCTGCAGTACAAGGAATAGTCAGTGTTTTGCCCAAATCAGCAAAAGTGTCCACAGGAAGTTGCTCCTTAAGCTTTGGGCGATCTAAGAAGAAATTTTACTGTAAATCAAGCCTTTGACCTTGAATCAATTAAAAGAGTAGCACTAATGATAACCTATTTGTAGTTACAGAAACAAAGCTACACTTAGTGTCCAGTTTTCTGTTTAATTTCTCAAAAAATTTTGAAGTAAAATGCTTGTAAAATAAGTTTCTAAATCTCTTTCCAGTAATCAAGGACTGTGTGAAGAAAAAATTTCTGTTATCCTCTGGCACTGCTTTTTTCCACAATTTTAAGGCACTATCTGCGAGTCATGAAGGAATTTACCCTGAATGTGTGTTAATCCGTAAACAGTTGAAAGATGCCTTAAAGCGCATGGGGCGACCCATTTTGTGGTCATGATTTTAGCAGGGGCCATTGTACTTTGATGTTTTTACCTGAATATCACACTAAGAACTTTTCTAAGTTTATGAATAATAATATGGTATCCAGGCATACAATTGCTAATAATGAATGTAAAAATAGCTGGCCTGTATAGCATTCTCGGTACTAGTACCATCCGACTTACGACCTGCTCGACATACGACCACTTGTACTTACGACAGTACATTTGGCAGCAGGGCTGGGCGGGCTGATGCATACCGCCGTGTGACAACTGATCGCTACTCACAGCAATGCGCCATCTCAGGAGAGCTCTCACATCACTCAGGCAGCATCACTGAGTTACCCTGCCCTATCAGCAGCATCATACTGTATTAATCGTACTGTACTGTATATAAGTAATACCTGGACAGTAAATTTCTCCATGGCCCCTAAGAGGAAGTCTGAATCTTGCACTGGAGTTTGTGGCAGGAAGGCAAGAAAGGCTCTTACTCTCGACCAAAAGATGAAAGTAATTAAACAGTATGAGGATGGAAAAAATGTCAACAGCATTTCTCATGAGCTTCAGCTCTCCCATTCAACAGTGCCAACAATACTTAAAGATAAAGAGCACATCAGAGAAGCAGTGAAATCTTTAGCCCCTATCAAGTCGACAATTATAAATAACAAAAAAAGGCACAATACCGTCACTGGAACGATACACAAATAACCTGCACATAAAAGAGAGAAGCTTACGATGACATTTCGGTCCGACTTGTAAATGGTCCAAGTCGGACCGAAACGTCGTCGTAAGCTTCTCTCTTTTATGTGCGGGTTATTTGTGTACAAGTCCACAATTATCACAAAGAAATTTCCTAGAGTTTCCTTTTTTTTTCTATTTTTTAAATTTATGTAATTTTGATTTACACAGTTTACATATGAATGCTTTCAGTTTCTTACATTCGAAGTGAATTCAAAGACATTGTTTTGTACGCAAATATTCTCGGAAATAAACAACTGTTTGTGTTGTAAACAGTGTTTCTCCTAAACCTTACAGTATAAAATACAGTACTAAAAGCATAAAAAGTAAATTAAAAAAATGAAATACAAAAATAAAAATTAATAAAATAAAATCATTATAATAACTGTGATGTTGATATACAGTAGTAAAATATTTAGTAAAAAGTAACATACGATGCTATGTAGGTACTTCATATAGCAAAAATTTGACATTATGTCCTACCCAGTATGTCAGCAATTTTCTAAGGTTTGTCCATTTTGACTTAAGACCGGTCGGTCCTAAGTTGGATGGTACTAGTACAACATACAAAAACAAAAGACACACTACAACCAAAAGTCACGTGATTTTAAGGCTAAAATCCAAGAAACAAGAAGAAAATGTACACATCATCATGTAATGTTTGAGACGAAATTATATCAATGGGTTGAACTGGTTGTAGGTACAGTACATGACATGCTAAGTGAAACTCTGATTAGTTTCTTCAATATGATACAAGGGCTTGCATATACTCTGATCAATAAAACAACTGATATACTGGAATACATTCAAAGGGATAGAAGTTATGAAAATTAACACCAAAAAGCAGTTGTATAAAGCAAGTTTTAAAAAACAGCTGGAAGTCTATTTTCTTTTTATTTGGTACAAGACACTTAAATTATAAACCAACTATAGGATTTAGTTCAAAATATGCTCACTGGATTTCCCAGTGAGCACATTTTGAATAAGAAAAAGAGAACACAATCACGATATACGAAATGTACTAATGAGCATGAACAGGGTAGACAAGGATATGCTCTTTACCAGAGATGCAACAAGAACATTTCAGTGTATGAGTGGTAAAAACGGTGGAGTGAGCAGATTAATGACACCTCCAAGCAGACACTCTACAGGGGCTCATCAGTACGATACGACAGAGCTCAATCAAGAGGCATTATGAAAAACTGGCAGTCACCTCCTGCAAACTCGAATAAGTAATTACATATTATTGCATCCCTTAGGACACAGTGAAATCTGAATCCAAGGATGAGTTAAATTTATATCCTCTCGAGCATTATTCATAAATATAATGAAAAGAAGCACAGTAACACTCAAACAAAGTAAAGATTTACCATAAATAACAACTTGGGCAGCAGCTTGAATTGGCTCATCAATACTTGTGCGCAGACGAACCTGGCATTTGTAAACACCAGCATAATGTAGGTCAGCCTGGAGGAGGCTAAGAGTGCGATTCCATAAGCCATTGAAGGAGAACACAACACCTGATTGTTCTATAGGTATATCATCCTTGAACCAAAGAGTTTCTAACTGATATAGTGGTCTGAAAATTAAAAGAAAAATGAGCAACATGCTGCAATATAATAGTGAAACCTTGATTTAAAGGGCTCTTGGGGTAAAATGTTATGTTAATGCCAACTGTTCATTAAATCTGCATGATGAGACTGTTTTTTATTATCATAATAATGGCCAATTCTGTACTGTAATGAATGTACTTTGTCCACTAAATATGAAATCGGTTAACCTAATGGACAGTAACAATTATGGACTATTCTGGATTTTTGCCCATTTCCAAATGATGTCCAAGATTTTATCATTCAAAATCTGTTAAATTAGGGTCCATTAAATCAAGGTTTAGCTAAACCCTATTCATTAAAAATTATGAGTACAATTTTTTACATTGGTATATCACTCTTCATGGAGAACAGTTCAGTATACAGCTTCTCCTCACTTAGCGACGTAGTCATTTACCAACGACTCAGACTTACGACGGGCTCTCTGACCAGTATGCATACCTAACAATGTATATTAGAGCTGATTTCCTCTATTCTGTTTATTACAATATACAGTAAACTACTGCATAAACATTTAAAAATATACCAGAAATGTTATAAATGGTGCAAAGGTGACATTAAAACAATATCAAAGATGATTGACACAAACTCACTACCAATTATAACATGCTCCTCACTTAGCGATGAATTCGTTTACCAATGTAATCTTAAGAACGTAACTCCGTCATTAAGGGAAGAGAGGCTGTATTTCTGCCATCTCATTAAAATATGTCTATCCACTGTAATACAACATGACAATTTAACAATATCCCAGCAAATAAAATTTGCAATATTAACCAAGTGTGATTAATCTCAATATACAGTATTACAAAAGCATCCCCATGCAACAATGGAGGCACAAACCTGGCATTTGCAATACACTGCAAGTGTGCAATACTGGAGTCCTTGATAATAGTTGTGTTGAGAGGTGGTACAATAATTGAAGGTGGAATCTCCTCATTTCTTCCTTCTTCACCCTCAACTATGAGAGTAATACCTCCACTGACTTCTTCTACTCCAAGCTGAGTGTTGGTGATACGAGCACTAAAAGAAATAAGATAATTGCTGTATAGCTCTCAAAGGTTCTTATTGACACAACACACAAATTTAATATTATACGTACTATATATACAAAGCAATCTATTCAAGACATTCATTTTTCACACAAAAATTTTTTTTATAGTATTCGAGAGCAAAGGAAAATTGTAGTAAATAATTCTCTGTTTTGACTTGCAATATAACATGCTGAACACATCATCAAATGCATTTATCACCTGTAGGTCTTCATATCAGTGGGTTGGGTTGCCAAAATAATGAACTGGTTATCAGGGTCTGTGGTGGCATACTTGATGCCATAGAGTAAGAGTTGTCATCAGCCAACCATGTGACAGAGGGTGGAGGATAGGACTCCAGAGGAGGCAGAGAGAGAACAGCTGCTTCCCCAGCTTGTACCGTCATCACTGTATTTTCGGTATTGTTGTATCCACTCATATCTGTTGACACATGAAGGAAATTAGTTTAAAATTTCCCTCCCTTTGCACTACAAACAACTAAGCATATTTACACTAACATGTTGTACAAAGTCAAGTATGTTTAAACTTATCTCTAGCTAGTTTTGAGCTATTTTACTGCTCTCATTACCTGGCCAAGAATCAAGCTTCCCTGAAGCTGCTTGATCAGTCAGGCTATTGCTGCTTAGAACAAACAAGCCTGCAGATCTACCACAGCCAAGCAAATCTGTTACATTCTACAAAAAAATTCACAAGTTCCCTCTTCAATAAATCCCCCTTTGTTCTAACAATATACCTTAAATTTGATGGAACTTAAAAAGTTTTCAAATAATTCATATACAGTAGTGTACTGTATAAAATAAAAATATAAATATACAATACAATTGCAAACAAGCGATCTTAATAATGCAGAACAACCCACATGGAGATGAAAATCTTTAGCTCTGGATCTTTTGCATTCTTGTGCATCGTCAGAAGCTATTCACTGTTGCAAGACAGCAGAAGATAGAAGAGAAATTCTCTGAGACAAGTGAGACAAGACAGAAGATATTAATGGTGGTCCATGAGACAGAGACAGACAGACAGGCAGGCAGGCAGGCAGACAGACAGACAGACAGACAGACAGACAGACAGACAGGCAGACCCAGACACACACACACACACACACACACAGAGGTGCCATAAAAATATGAACGTGTGTGTGTATATGTTCACCTGTATGTGGTTGCAGGGGGTCTAATCTTAGCTCCTGGCCCCACCTCTCAACACGTCACTTACCAGATTCATTCTCCTAGTCTCGTGGGCCATATATTACTAATTATTTTAAACTTTGTAGAGAGTTGGCCTTCACCACTGCACTGAGGTTATTCCACTACCCGACCACCCTGAGAGTGTAGAAATTATTCCAGATATCGCTCTGACTCGTCTGTTTCTTTAGCATCTAGATGTGCCCCCCCGAGTACCCATTTCCCGCCTCTCAAAGAACCTGTCCTTGCCTGCCCTATCAATTCCTCTGAGTATTTTCTATGTTGTCGTCACGTCTTCCTTTGTCCTTCCATCCTTTAGCCTTTCCTCGTAACTCATATTCCATGCTCTTGTGCCTCATACTGCTGCGTAATCCAGTAAGTTCGCTCATCCAGGAATAAGTGAAATTGTGACGTCTGTGAAAATATACACTATTACTCTAGGTCTGGACTTGTGACTTCTTAGGGTGGAGAGTAGCCTGGTAGGCAAAGCTCTCGCTTCACATGCTGAATGTCTGTGGTTTGATTCCCGGCAAGGGTGGAAACACTGGGTGTGTTTCCTTACACCTGTTGTCCCGTTCACCCATCAGTAAAATGGGTACCTGGGTGAGGGTCAACTGGTGCAGGTCGCATCCTGGGACAAAATTGAGCTAATTTGCCCGAAATGCTCTGCATAACAAGGGGCTTTTTATATAGTAGTATGTCATTGATGTCAGCTAGGCCTGTAACCTTGTACATGTACATACTTGTAGAAATATATTATTACTGTGAGCATACTTACACGCCACTGAGAATGAGGTTTTGGCTGAGAATATAGCACCAGCAGAGTTGCGTGCCACACAGCGGTAGTCTCCAGCATCGTCTCTACTGACGGAGGGGATCTTGTAGAAGGTCTCACTGGAGAACTCCCCCAGCGGCTCTCCATCTCTCATCCATCTGTACTCTGGCTGTGGGTAACCTGCCAACAAGATAACATTTCAACCTTAAGTCGCAAAGCAATGTTGAAAACAATGATAAATTACAATAATCTATAATCTACAAAACAACTGCCAACGAAATAAAACAATAAACACAGATATTAATTTAGCCATACTTGGCAGCACTGTCTGATATTCACACACATTAATCACGGACCTGAAAATTGCATTAGTCAGTTTTTGTTTTTTTTACGCAAATCAGCTTTACAGGCTGTTATCGTATCTCAGATCATTCTTCACCATTTATAACTTATAAAATATGTTTCATGGGCTATGATATAAAATTATATTAGAAATTACATATAATAACAAATTAAGTACAAAGAGCCATCTGCAAAGTTTAAATGAATTATTGATAATTTCAACTATAACTATCCACAAAGTATATAATTTATTTCTTGGTAAAATTCACTTAAAAATGCAAAGATCTCACTCAACTGTTCAAATATGAACAACACGGTAATAATGGTATAGTTTTAATTGTAACCTGTAAGCAAATGGTCTTCAATTTACAAAGTGTTGGGACCAAAATTTCAATTAGTGCTTGAACATGCATACCGCAAACGGAGTACAGGATAGGGGGCCAGATACTTCAAACCTCACTCAAGGAAAAAGATCTTGGGGTAAGTATAACACCAGGCACATCTCCTGAGGCACACATTTCTTCAGTCATAGAGTTGTCAGCAAATGGAATAGCCTAGCAAGTGAAGTAGTGGAGGCAGGAACCATACATAGTTTTAAGAAGAGGTATGACAAAGCTCAGGAAGCAGAGAGAGAGAGGATCCAGTAGCGATCAGTGAAGAGGCGGGGCCAGGAGCTGAGTCTCGACCCCTGCAACCACAATTAGGTGAGTACAATTAGGTGAGTACATTAACCAAATAACTGCTGCAGCATATGGGCGCCTAGCAAACTTAAGAACAGCATTCTGCCATCTTAATAAGGAATCGTTCAGGACCCTGTACACCGTGTACATTAGGCCCATATTGGAGTATGCGGCACCAGTTTGGAACCCACATCTAGCCAAGAACGTAGAGAAAGTGCAAAGATTTGCAACAAGAGAGGTTAAGGGAAATCGACCTGACTACACTGGAGGATAGGAGAGATAGGGGACATGATAAAGACATATAAAATACTGAGAGGAATTGGCAAGGTGGACAAAGACAATGTTCCAGAGATGGGACAAAGCAACAAGGGGACACAGTTGGAAACTGAAGACACAGATGAATCACAGGGATATTAGGAAGTATTTCTTCAGTCACAGAGTAGTCAGGAAGTGGAATAGTTTGGGAAGCAATATAGTGGAAGCAGGATCCATTCATAGCTTTAAGCAGAGGTATGATAAAGCTCATGGTGTAGGGAGAGTGACCCAGTAGCGGCTAGTGAAGAGGTGGGGCCAAGAGCTATGACTCGACCCCTGCAACCAAATTGAGTACACACACACACACACCTCTATAGCTAATGTTTGCCTGGCAAATCTGCGCGTGATCACGAATCTCAAGTCATTCCGGGCGCTGTATACAACATATGTCAGGCCCATTCTAGAGTACGCAGAACCAGTATGGAGCCCATACCTGAGGAAACATGTTATTGGAGAATGGTAATGACGGGTGGTAGTAATGATAGGTGGTGGTGATGGCCACTGGTGACAGTGATAGGTCTACGTCTACGTGTGCCTTGCGGCAACATCCACTGGCATTGACTGAACAGTTACCTTCATTGGCTCTCACATTAGAGCGAGTGATTAGCTCATTTTGAGGAAGCAAATCTCGCAGATGTTGCAGCATCTAGTCATTCCCCAGGAGGAGACCCACAACAGTCAGCTGACACCCACGTACATACTGCTCGGGATGAAAGCAGAAATTAAAGTGCCGTGTGTTTGTGATGGTTGGTGATGATAAACACACTGGTTGCAAAGAATCCTTTAACTACAATGTTTCGCCCTTGGATGAAACGCTGCTTTAAACGATTCCTCTGCTACCAGTATTTTTATCCCCACTTATCTTCTGCCATTATCTGCCTATCAGTGGTGGTGATTTTCTACCTGCAGTCACGACCTTCTGGAGTTTACCCGAGTCGCTTCCAGAGGTCACCGCCCCTGCGGCCCGGTCCCAAAATAGGCCTCCTGGTTGCTGGCCTGATCAATCACACTGTTGGTATCTGCTGCCCAGTCCATCGTATGCACCACAACCCGGTTGATCAGGAACTGTTTTAAGGAATGTGTCCAGTTCCCTCTTGAAGACAACTAAGGGTCTGTTGGTAATCCCCCTCATGCATGAAGAAACGGTGTTGAGTCATGGTCCCTTAATATTTGTCGAGTTCTCTCTCAGTAGTAATCGCTCCCTTGCTTTTCATTGGAGGTATCCTGCACCGTCTGCCAAGTCTCTTGTTTTCATATATAGTTATTTTGTGTGCAGGTTTGGAACCAATCCCTTCATTATCTTTTAGGTGTAGATTATGATGTATTTTTCTCGCCTACGTTCCAGGGACTTCAAGTGCTCCCAGTAATTTAGGTGCTTGATTGAGTTTATGCGAACTGTGAAAGTTCTCTATACATTCTTCGGCTCATCAATTTCGCCTGCCTTGAAGGTAGCCGTTAGTACACAACAGTATTATAACCTAGAGGCAACGAGTGGACTGAGGAGTATCATCACTGGCTTAATATCTCATGTTCCGAAAATTCTTGTCATCCCACTCATTTTTCTCGCAGTGCTCCGTGAACCCGAGATCTTCTATTATTACAGCTTCCAGGTCTCTCACATTTGACTTACATTCTATTAAGTGATTTGAGTTTGTCTTGTACTCTGATCTCCTTTTTTTTATTTGTTTATTCTTACGTGACGTAGTAACTGGAATTATCGTCACGGATGAATGGAGTAAATAAAAACTAGATGGGAGTAACTGTGGTGGTGACGGGATGGAAGCCACCTGACCGGAGGAGGTAACGAGAGGATGTAATGTATCACCCCCTTCCTCTCCCCCCACCTCCCGTCCACTGCTATAGTAGTGCCTTTGTTCACTTCCCTCGCTACTGCACCACAAAAATGCCCGTGGTAGCACAGTTCTATACCTGTGACACTACCGCGAGTTTTTCTGCCCATTCATACCGGCCTGAGAGGCCAGACTATCCTGTTAACCAAATGGTCACCCAGTTTGTTTGTACTAGCAGCCCGCAGGCCCACAGTCACGGGGATTCGAACTATGTACATGCTTCAACACACGCTGATTTGCACCAGACGATGATCAAACTATATCTGCAAAGTATGTAGTCAGTCACTTTCTTAAATACTGAAGAATACAGAAAGTATAATAATCTATGTCGAGATAACTTATTAATTAAAATCAGATATCAGATATTTTAAGCAAATATCCTATATTTTCTTTTATTACGTTTGATGAGTTCCGAGTTTTTCCACTTCCAGAGTCAGTCTATGGGCCAGGTTTGTCTAATGATTACTTGGTCAACCAGGCTGTTGCTGCTGGTGGCCCGCTGACCAACATACCCATATACTTACCCACATACATATCCAGATGTACTCCAGTTAACGCTTTTTGTGCCTGCTTCCTAAGCCTTCTGTGTATGCAAATACTCTTGCACTATCTTCCACATGATATATGTGAAGTGCACAATAAATTAGTGGTTTAGGAGGCAAAATCTAAATCTAATGGGTTACACAGGAATATCTGTATAGTCAATCACAAACACAACTCTCCTGAGATGAATGCACTGTAAGGTGAGGCTGAACCTGACAACCTCGGCGGAGAGAAAGTCAAGGAAGACGTAGGTAGTTACGAAATACAAGATCTTAAGAGGAACTGATAGGACGGAGAGGATCAGACTGTCAGAATTAAGTGGACCAGAATCCAGGGAACACAGGTAGAAACCCAAGACAGACGAGTCATGACGATGTTAAGTACGCATTTCTTTCATCTCAAGTAGACTGAACAGTAGAATCTCTTGGATGAGACTGTGGTGGAGGCAAACTCAATACAAAGGAATATATCAAAGGTATACAGCTTCAAGAACAGACACGAGGCCTACGTGGCCAGAAATCAGTGATGCCCTTCAAAGTAGTTCAGGAGGAGGGACCAGGAGCTGAGACTCTACCTTCGCTAACAAACACGGTGAATACCCCAAACTCGCACACGCGCGAGCACGCCTGTAAACCAGCTCACAATGCTTGCACTCACTCACTCATAATGACCAGACTCTTCCTGGGGCCCCTAAAATACAAGAGTTCTAATGAGGAAAACGTTCTTGTATACATTATACATTATCCCGGTACCAGTGGAAACATTAGGACGTGTTTCCTTAAGATACCTGTTGCCCCTGTTCACCTAGTAGTAAATAGATACCCGGGTGTTAGCTGACTGGTGTGAGCCGCATCCTAGGGACAAAATTAACCTAATTTGTCCGAAATGCTTTGTATAACAAGGGGCTTTCTATACAGTATTTCATAGATGTCAGCTAGGTCTGTATACGTTGTACATATACTTGTAGAAATAAATATTATTATTATTAAACTACAACCTTCCCAGTTAACTGTGTAACCCAGTTACAAGTACTTTCCAAGTCTAGGCTAGCAGCAATTCGATACATTTTCAGATCACTATTGAATGGTGCGTCTAAATCACCCCTGGCGCTGCCTTACCTGGGTATCTGCCGCACCCTCTTCTATATACATACTTAACACTTAAATTAACAAATAAATGAGTTTTTAATACAAGTGCTAATTATAATGTCGAATGAGGTCAAAAGGTGCGTGAGAGAGAGAGAGAGAGAGAGAGAGAGAGAAGAGAGAGAGAGAGAGAGAGAGAGAGAGAGAGAGAGAGAGAGAGAGAGAGAGAGAGAGAGAGAGAGAATGAATGATGATGGGGAGATAGAGAAGATGATAGGCGAGATGATGGGGAAGAGGGAGAGACATGATGGCAAAAAGATAGGTGAGAGGGATGATGGGCAATAGAAAAAAAAATAGAAAATCGG